GGCACTTCATCTTAATATTTGATGTTGCAGTGTTACACCTCTAGGGTTAATCGACAAAAGCATTGGGATTCCCTATTTATACTAACTGACAAAAGCATTGGATTTTGAGATTAGTGTAAGATATGATATGAGTTGGACCATATAATTCTAGTTGAGACTTTGAGATTAGTCTTGATACCCTTAAGCTTGATTGAAGTGTAACTAGGTTAGTATGAATCTTGAGGTGATTTAATGATGTAGATTTTTAAGGAACTATTTTTTGTCTTTCCACTATAATATAGAAATCATGGATGCGCTAAGTTTAGTGCTCTTGATTTGCTGATTGGGACTAATCCTTCCCCCCTAAATTTTTATGATATATAATGTATGAATTAGTTTAATTTGATATTAAATTATTATTAAGTTTTATTTAGTAGTTTATTAATTTCTAATTGCTCTTAATATCTACTAAGAATGCATGGAGGGATGTGGGATAATTTGGATTGTACTAATTAGTTAAATGGTGGCTTACCACATTAACTGGTCACATGGACATGATTAAATACCTGATATACATAAGCTAATAATTATGTTTGAAATATGAGATTTGCTCGTTCATTGCTTGAAGTTTACTCAAGTTAAAATTAAAAGGAGTTGAAATTGAAACCAAAATTTTCGAAGATTAGTTGCTTGAAATTAGTGTGATACTGTGATTCAGCTCGGTTGATTCAATATATAATATCCGCATGTATTTATGTATGTTTTAACACAATGAACACACCGCATGTATTTATGTATGCTTTAACACATTGAACACATAAATGTAGTCACAATTACATTATATATATGCACATATATGAATGTTAATATATTATATTATAGAGTATAACTTCATAAATAAATCTTAACGTTTAATGGATAAGGATCTATTAAATGTGGTTTATAAAATTAATATACTTGACTTACACCATTTTGAAGTCCGACTTTGAATTGACACTTCTGACTTGACTTAAATTTGGCTCAAATTGGGTTGGTCAACTCACTTGAATTGAACTCAATATCACTCCTAAGTGAGTAATTGATGTAACCCCAAATTTTTGCTAGAAAAATAAAATCTCTTTCTAGGATCTAGAAAATTACAAGAACTCGCAAAAACTAGACAAATTAGACAAAAATAAACTTTTTATAAGATAAAAGACTATTACAACTTGGACGCTTACAAATGACTCAAACAAGACACTTTACAAACAACACTTACAATCTTCAAGACCAAACTTTTATAATAAAAACCCTAAACTTGCTTTTATCCATTAGAAGAAGGATGCAGGTGGAGTGGTTCTTGCGGAGAGACGAAAGAGGTTAGCCCGAGAAGAAAGAGGAGAAGCTCGCAAGCTTTCCAAAGAAGTAGAAGAAGAAGAAGTGGACAAAGCTCGCAAGCTTTTCCAAAAACCCTCAGGTTTTCCATTCCAAAAATAACATTTTCACCACTCTAAAACAGCCACAAACATCTCCTATTTATAGACCAAAAGAGGGAATACAAACAGCCACTAAAACTCTTCAAATACTTAATTAAATGAAGGAAATGAAAAGCCAACAACCACTTCATAATATTCCCAAATAAACATAGGAAACAAAGCACCAAAGCCACGGAAAAGCCCCACAACAGCCACGGGAAAACAGCCCAGGCGGAACCCAAAGAGGCAGCCGCAAAACTAAGGAGGTCCGCACGGAACCGAGGCACCAAGGCACGGGAAAAACCACCCAGCACAGAAAACCAAGGGACAAGCACGGAAATCCACGAGACAAAGGGGAATGGAAGAGACACAAGGGAAGAAACCAAAAAGTCATAAATAAAGGCAAGGGAGGGGTCAAAACAAGTTGGGATTTAAATTTTGTGAGTTTCTTTATCTCTACTAAAAATCAGCTCATTAATGAGCTTCTTCTTCTTTTTCAGCTCATTAATGAGTTTTGCTCGCATCATTTTAGGTCTTTAAAAAATCCCTGGGGAGAGGGCCCCCAAGAAATTCTTGATCACCTCAAAAATAACAAAAGAGAGAGACTTAGGAACTAAGTAATACGAAGCACAAACTCTTACATTTCATATAAAAAGACACTTACAAACTTTTGACTCAATCGACTCAAGCAAGATACCTTATAACTCTTACAAACGACTCAAACACAAATTAAAACCTAAACCTTCTTTCCAAGAGACGAAGGATACAAAGGAGTGGATACTTGCGGAGAGACGAAAGAGATTAGAAGCCGAAAAGAAGGGTGGAAAGAATTCGCAAGTTTTCCCGAGAGATAGAAGAAGAAGAAGCTCTCAAGCTCTTCCAAGAAAATCCGCAGATTCTTTTCAAAAATTCTTTCTTAATATTACTTTAAAACATTCCAAAACATCCCATATTTATATACATGAGAGGGGAATACAAACAGCCACTTCAATGATTTCCCACAGGAACCCAAGCATCACAAACCACGAAAAAGCCCCCCAACCTCACGGGAAACAGCCCAGCCAGGGACCCGAAGAGGCAGCCGCAGAAATCCAAGAGGCCCGCACGGAACCGAGGCACCAAAGCACGGGAAAGGCCACCTAGCAGGAAAACCATTAACCAACTGTGGAAACCAAGGAGTCAAGGCACGGAAACAACCAACCGTGGAATCCAAGGAGCCAAGGCACGAAGAACAACAAGTACAGGGAATCCAAAAGCCATTTTGGAAACCCAAGGGACAAACTAAGAATTTTAAGAGACAAAACTATAAATAAAGAACTACATAAATAAGAAAATAAATGAATTAAAACCTAGCTAATAATGAGCTAACCTTTAGTTCAATAAATGAACTAAAAACCGGCTCATAATGAGCTAAATTTCAGCTCAAAATTTATTGAACTAGCAAGTTCAAGGGAAGTCAAAACCAATTTTTTTTTGGGTTTGATTTGACCCCCTTTTGCCTACATTAGTACTAAACAGATACTGATGTCTATTTGTATTATGTGGGTTTTATTCTATAGTTTTGAATATCATAATCATCGTCATCAACATTAGACTTATCCCAAGTACTTGGGTCAACTTTATAAATTCTTATTTTTCATTTGTTCATGCTTAGTGCTGCATGAGATGCTGAATTTATTCTTTCCAAATCATTTTGCATTATATTTTTCCATATAATCATAGGGGCACCCTTTATTTCTAGACCTATGACATATTTAATAAGCCCTTTTGATCGTCACAATTCTTAGTTTTTGTTATATATGTACAAATTGAATAATTCTTTTTTTTCTCAATTAATGTCACTTCAAATATTTCTTCTAATATAATCATTTGTATGAATTATTTTATTAAAACTAACTATATTTTATAATAAATATTTAGTCTTGGCATGCCAAAGTGAAATATATAAAGGAGCATCTTTCATAAGTATGGGAGTGCAATGCATAAAATACATGCATTATACTTTTGAGGTTTAACATGTGCATTTTTATCCGCTTTAACAAAGTATGAAAAATGGTTTTTTAGAATAATTCACCGCTACATGTTTTATATGAGTATAATATGTGAATTTGCTAACTAAGCTTTTTGATAGAATTATTTAGAATTGGAGACTAATAAAACTTAATTCACAACCGGCTGTCTAGTTATTAGTACTTATCTTAGCTGTGTAGTAATTAATTTATTCACCACTAATGTTATAAAGATGCGATTTGGGGCATGATGGGTGTTTTCTTGAAAAGATTGCTAGTTTCTCAGTAGTTAGGTAAACTAATATTTTTTCTTATGAAGAAATAGTTTAAGTAGCTTTTTAGCGGGTATATAATAATTGTTCTTCGAGACTATAATGGTTTATTTGTGAAGTTGATGTTTCATCTAAAACTAAACCAATTTATTTAGTGGATGTTTGTTTTACTGGTTGGTTTAGTCGTGGAATGGAATTTAGTTCTATGGTTGGCTTAGTTGTTATTAGTGCAATCTACATAGTCTACTGGGATCTACCAAACCTATTTCTGAAGTTAGTCATTATAGTAGAAAGAAATGAGTCATTTTACTTTATATTCGATAATACTACATACAAAGCTTAATTGTTTGTTCTGTATAACATGCTTGTTTATTTCTCTTTAAAATGATATATGCAGGGAATTCAAAATTTTAAAATTCCTTTCTTTTCTTTCTTTTAAACGTTACATCTTAATGAATGATAATTTTGCAACCTTCTATTGTGCTGTTTTGGCTGATTATGAACTCTGGAAGTTACAAACAAATAAGGTCATTCATGTTGATTATGTTAGGCCGGCCCAAATGAGGCCTGCTGAACCAGCTGAATTGGTCCCTAGTGGATCGGTTTCTCTGCCCAAGGGGGCCGGAACCATGGAGAGAGAGTGAGAGAGAGGCTAAGTAGATGGGGGGCCCACACAATAATTAAGCATTGTATTGGAGGGAAATTTCAAATTAGAGGTTGTTTAGGGATTAAACTTTTGTCCTTTTGCTTTAATTAGCCTTGTCTTGCTAGGGTTAGGGTTATCTTGAATTTGATTTTGAATTTGGGATCTCGTGTGGTCCTTGGGCTCTAGTCTTTGGCTAGAGATTTGGAGAGTTGGTTCTTCCTCTCGAATTAAAGATCCGTGTATCTTGTGCTGTTTTTCTTCTTCTATTAGTAAATTTCAAGTATTTTTCTATCAGATTTCCTACAATTTTTATAAAAATCTGCTCTATTTTGGCTGATTTTCTCTGAAATTCAGCAAATTTCTGCATTATTGGTGACTATTTTCTATCAGATTACCACAAGTAAGCAGCACATTTTAGCATTCTCAACAGCCAATGTGCAAAATTATCTCATTGATCCATAATGCGAGAGGTACTTAATGTAATTATTCATATTTAATAGCAAGGCATTCTTTTAAGCTTGTGAGAAACTCATGTCCAATACTACTGATGAATCCACCACTTACTTTTTCTTACTTGGTTTTGAATTGCATTCAAAATCATATAATTATCATTTCTCAGTGGAAATTTGTTTTCTTGCAGAGATTATGGAATTTCTCAACCGGGAAATTCTTGAAGACATACAGGGGACACACCAATTTAAGATACGCCATTTCTGCTACATTTTCAGTGACAAATGGCAAGTATATTGTAAGTGGTTCCGAAGATAACTGCGTATATTTGTGGGATCTTCAGAGCAGAAAGATTGTACAGAGATTAGAAGGTCACAAGGACATTGTCTTATCTGTCTCATGTCACCCAAAGTTGAATATTATTGCATCTGGAGCATTTGAAAAGGACTGCTCGGTGAAGATTTGGATTCAGAGAGATGAGCAGCAAATGGATATTTGAATTGATTATTGTAAGTCCCCTCTGTTTTAACTTCAAATGGCTTAACAATTACCATGCATTTTCCAAACCTATGACCTCAGTTGGAATTGAAAAAACTTATTTCTTGGTAGTGTTAATTGTGCCAAATACAATATTATTAGTTTTTTTTTTTTTGAGGAAAGATTATATTATGATATCATCGTATAAATTATACTAAAATGAATACTATGCTTAGCTTACCTTTAAATAAATTTAATGTATAAAATATATATTTTGATTCCAAAACTCGGGTTAGGAACCTTTGTCGTATTCATAATATTCATATGCTGGTGCTTTTGGAACCTTTTATTAGTTCTGATAAAGTTGCGTCTATGACCAAGTGTTTGGGTTTTGATAATTGCTTTGCTAATTGCTCTAATAAGATTTGGATTATGTGGAAAAACCATGCATGTTAGTATTACAATTATCTTAGATTTTCATCAAGTTGTCCACACTCAAATCTCTTATGCTAATTTTACTTTTAATGCGTCTTTTGTGTATGCTCTTTGTACTAGAATGGGGCGTGTTCCTCTTTGGGAGCACTTAGCTGATTTTGCTCTTACTTCGAATGGTCCTTGGTGTGTGGGAGGTGATTTCAATATCATCTCTAACTCTAATGAAAGGGTTGGGGGTAAACCTCCCAATCACAATGCTATGAATGATTTTAATCAAATGATTGCTAACTGTAATTTATTTGACATTGGTTTCTCGGGTAGTGCCTTTACTTGGAATAGAGGTTCTATGTGCAAAGACTTGATAGGATCCTTTTTAATAATGAGTGAGTTAGCAGTTTTAATATGACTACTGTTCAACATTTAAGTAGAACGTTATCTGATCATTCCCCGCTTCTTATGAATGTTTCTCAAAGTAACTTAAAGGTTTTTACTTCCTTTAGATTTCAAAACATGTGGATTACTCATGATGATTTCCTTAATGTTGTTACTAATAATTGGACTGCTAATGTGTTTCCTAATAATAATATTAATGGTATGACCAGGTTATGGGCTAAGCTAAGCAGGCTTAAACAGACTTTGAGATGGTGGAATAAGCATATCTTTAAAATCATTTTTGATAACATCAATAAAGTTGAGAAGGATGTGTTGGATTTGGACAAAATTTTGATTGATAATCCCTCTAGTACTAATTTTTCCAATCTGGACAGTGCTAAGCTTCACCTTTTTCATTTACAGAATCAAGAAGAGATTTTCTGGAAACAAAAGGCTGCTTTCAAAATGAATTTAGAGGGGGATATGAACACTGCCTTTTTTTCATGCTCTTGTTAACAAAAATAGAGTTAAAAATCATATTCATAGAATGGTTAATAATCAGGGCAATGTTTTTGATACTGAGGAGTTAATTACTTCTTATGGTGTCGATTTTTTTAAAGATATTTTTAATTGTGCTAAATTAACTAGTCCGATGGTTAATGCTAATGTTATTCCCAAGCTAGTTGGGGATGATGACAGTTTCATGCTTATTACACATCCTTCGGAGAATGAAATTTGGAATATCATTAAAGAGATGAATGGGGATTCTGTAGCTGGGCCCGATGGGTTTACTACCAAATTTTTTGTTCATGCTTGGGAGGTTATTAAGAAAGATGTTGTGGATGCTGTTTATGATTTATTTAAAGGTAATGCTTACCCTAAGTTTTTATCTTCTACTAATATTGTTCTTATCCCGAAAAAGATAATCCCACTTATTGGAATGATTTTAGACCTATTAGTCTTTGCACTGTTTTCAACAAATTGGTGGCTAAAATTATTGCTTTTAGTCTGTCTCTCATTTTACCTAGGATTATTTCTATCAACCAAACTGGCTTTGTGAAAGGTAGAAGTATATTTGATAATATTTTATTGGCCCAAGAGATGGTGCATGATCTTAATGTTAAAGGTAATGGTGGCAATATTATTTTTAAACTTGACATCACTAAGGCTTATGACAACTTGAAGTGGGACTATCTTTACAAAATTTTACATTTGTTTAATTTCAATAGGAACTTCATTAAACTTGTCAAGAATAATATTGAAACTTGCTTTTTTTCTGTTATCATTAATGGTAAGAATCATTGTTTTTTTTCTTCAAAGCATGGCCTGAGACAAGGGGATCCTTTATCGCCTCTCTTTTTATTATTGCTATGGAATATCTTTCTAGAGGTATTGAGAAGCTTTATAAAATTTATCCTATGCTTAATTTTCGTACTGTTGGTGGCTTTCCTATAACTCATCTTAGTTTTGCTGATGACTTTATTATTTTTGCGAATGCTTCCATTAAAAATGTTAAAATTATTGCTGAGTTTCTTACCTCTTTCCAGAATATTAGTGGTCTCTCTATTAGTAGGGAGAAGAGTAATTTTATTACTGGTATCAATGTGAATAGCAACATAATTAGTAGGATAAAAAATGTTTGTGGTTTCAATCAGACTTTGCTTCCTATTAAGTACCTTGGCATGCCTTTATTTAAAGGTAGGAAAAAGCTCTTTTTGTTTGAAAATTTTTTTACTATATTCCAAAAAAAAATTACTTAATTGGTCGTCGAATTTTCTTTCTTTTGGTGGTAGATTGATTTTAATCAAAAGTGTTTTAAACTCTATTCATATCTTCATTTTTCATACGATGAAACCTCCTTCGTCTGTTTGTTTGTGTATGGAGAAAATGATAAATAAGTTTTTTTGGGGGGCTACTAACAAAAAGAACTGTATCAACTGGGCTTCGTGGAATAAAATGTGTGGGAACTACAATGAGGGATTTCTTGGTTGCAAGTCTATTTTGGATACTGCTCATGTTTTTTCTCATAAACTTTGGTTCTCTTTTAGAGCTCAGAATAGTTTATGGGCTCAAATTATTTTTGCTAAATACTATAAGAATCTCCCTCCTTTGTCATGCACTTTTAAAGCCTGTGACTCTCTTGTTTGGAAACATCTTTGTGATATTAAATGAGAAGCGGAGCAGAATATTCAATGGGGCATTGGTAAAGGGGAGATTTCTTTTTGGCAAGACAATTGGTTGTGCTCCATTTCTATTGATAATTATCTTAACACCCATAACATTGTTAACAGTAAAGTGAAGGATTTTATTCAACATGGGGGTTGGGATATTCATAAATTACGGGAGGTTGTCTCCAATGAGATTGTTGAAAAAATTATGCAGATTCCTCTACAGCCTAATCAGAAGGATAAAATTCTTTTTAAATTGGCTTTTTCGGATAATTTCATTATTAAAAAGGCTTGGGAGGAGTTTAGATTAAAAGGTGATAATTCTACTTTGTTTAATTATCTTTGGCATAACAACATACCCCTCTCCTATTCTATTTTAACATGGAGGTGTCTTAAAGGTTATTTGCCGGTTGATAACCTCTTGTGGAAAAAAGGTTTTAGCTTTCCCTCTAAGTGTCAATGTTGTTCTAATACTGAGAGTATTCAACATGTTTTTGTGAATGGTGCTAGCTATTGCTAGAAGAGCTTGGCAACATTTTTTTAACTTGGCTGATTTGACACTTTCAATGTTAATTGTGACTTAGCCGGTATTCTTAAAATGTGGTTTGTTACCAGCAAAGGCCATATCCAGAATTTAATGCCTATTGTTATCATTTGGTACCTTTGGAAAGGTAGAAATGATTCTAAGCATAACGAGATCAAAATGTATTCCAGTCAGATTATTTCTAATGTAAGGGACAAAATTATGCAGTCAATTTCGGTTAATCTTATCTCTAATAAATATTTTTTTAATTGTCATATGCTTGCTAATCACTTTGGCATCATGAATGGCTATACTAGTGTGAGTAAACCTAGATGTATTGTGAGGTGGGACAAACCTAAGGCTCCGACCGAGTGTTAAATTGAGCACGGATGGCTCTGTAAGTGCTACTAATGCTGGTATGGGAGGTATTATTAGAGATCATAATGGTAAGCCTCTGGCTATTTTTCTGGTCCCTTGCTGTCTTGCTCTGTTCTGTCGGCTGAGCTTATGGCTTTGCACAAGGGTTTAGAGATTTGTGTGAATTGTGGTTATTAGAGTGTCAACATTGAGGTGGACTCTAAACTTCTTTTGCAAGTTATTTCTGACAATTCTGTGGGGTGTCTTCAGGATTTTTACACTATTAAAAAAATTAATATTCTTCTTGCTACTTTAACCTTTACTACCTCTCATGTTTACCTTGAAGGCAACACATGTGCTGATTGGTTGGCCAAGTTTGGTGCTCATAGTGGCATTTTCCTGGAACATAATCTGAACAATTTACCTGTTCCTCTTATTAGTATGATTTGTTTGGATAAGCTGGGTCTTCCTTATATCCGTCATACTTGAGGTTTTGGGTTTTATGCATGTTCTTGTTTCTTATTTTCTGCTGTGTGGGGGGTCGTTGCTTCACCCAGTTTACTGATGGCTGCCTTTAATTTTCTTTGGTATTTTTATGTTATATTGGGGTGTTTGCGGGTTCTTTTATATGCTTTTTGATTGTCTGGGGATGTTCTTGGTGTGCCAGGTCTCATTCCAGCTGACTTTTTATTTTCGGTATTTGAAGGGTATTGGTTTGGAGGTGTTTAGATGCTATATTTGTTATGTTTTTAAGCCGAATTATTCTGGGAATTCTACTTATTCGAGCAAGCAGGAGATGTTTTTCAGGAAGTATTATATGAGATATTGGGTGCCTCTTTTGTTTGTGAGTATGGAGAATAGGCTTCAGGTTCTCTTTGCTGAGGATTGGACCGACTATAAGAATTGGAGGGGGTATTGTTGGTTTGCCTATTGTTGGAGGCTTAACTGTGTTATGCTAATCTGGAATATTTCTGTTCTCTATTTTGTTGCTTTTAACTTACTTTTTTGGAGCTCTTTTTGCAGGTCGAGCTGGTCGGTTTTTTGGATCCTAAATGCTAATAAGTTACTTGCATATTTTCTTCAAGTTCTTTGGAATTTTGGTTTCCTTTTTTGGAGGAAGTGTGAGCTGAACGATATTTATATGAGCTTTCTTTTTTGGGTGCTGCCTGCTTGCAGCCCTTGCTTTTACTTTTTTCTCTATTGTATTAGTAGGAAAAGGGACCATTGATTAGATATGTACTATGCTTAGCTTACCTTTAAATAAATTTAATGTATACAGTATATATTTTGGTCAAATTTAAACGTGATGAGATGAATAAAGTTTAGATTTATATATTGACGAGTCAATAAATTTTACAGGTATTACCAAGGTTTTGAAAATGAACCGTACGACGAATCAGGAGGGGTTCATGGTTCGACCGGTTGACGTAAAAAATAATAAAAATATTAAAAATTACCGAATGACGTAAAAAATAATAAAAATATTAAAAATTATAAAATGAACAAGAATTTTTCCTACAATAACTTCATTCTACATTCTATTATTATATCAAATTAATCAAAGAACATAAATATTGCATCAATTAAATTTATAATGCATAAAAAATAACACACAATATAAATATGGCATCAAGTAAGTCCATAAATTACAAGTTCATAAATAAGTAAATAACTTAACAAACAAGAATTTTTTGAGAAATACATATCTTTTGTTGAGCTCTATTGTGTGTTGAGTATTGAGGAATGCAGACCATGCATCTTTAATTCTCTTTCTCTAAAATGTGAAAATGTTAAAAAGTAAAATGAATAATTTTTTTTAGATCTTATAGTTTCTATATCCATTTAGTGAAGCTTTGAAACGACCGAATACACGAGAATAGCGTATTTAGGGTAGAGGCGAGACATAATACTTCCCAATGTTCATTACGTACATTTGATTATATTTTGAAGACTGATATCGCCATACTTAGAACCGTCCGGTTCTTCAAAAAACCACCCGGTTTGGCGGTTCTTCAAAAATTTCATCGGTTTTATTTTCCATCGATTCTTTCGCCGAACCAGACTCGCTCTTGGTTGAACCGATCGAACCGGCTAGTCCGGTCCAGTTTTAAAATGTTGGGCATTACTACCTTTGTTATTAATAAGCAAAATAAGAGGTGAATAAAAAGAAAATTAAGAGTCAATTGCATTAATAAAACTTTTATTGATAGAAAGTTTTTTTTGAAGAATAGGTTTATTTTGTGAGTTTTAATTTAGATATTTTTTAAAGAAATTATGGAAGATTAATAGGTATTAAGTCATTTCAAGTTGTGGCATGATTTAGATTTCATTTGAGATAGTTTTTTTTACTGCTTTTTAAAATAGCTTTCTAACTCAAAAATTAAAAATTTTGTATTAATTTTTTTTTTTAAAGCAGTAAGAAAATGGTCTCAAATGAAGCCTTAGTTTCATAGCAATGATGATAAATGATCAAAGTAAAAGAAAATTTCTTGGGATGAATTGCTCTTTCATTTATGGGTATAAGAAGCAATCTACATGCATGCCCAAAAGTAAAATATTTGAAATTAAATATATATATTTTTTGTTTAGATTTTAAATTGATTATTTAAATTTGGAATCAAATCTCCATATAGATCTTTTCCACTATCAAAGGGTTTTTCTCAAGCATTATATATATATTCCTTATTTTCTAATTTAAAGAACTTATGTATCAATCAATCTCAGCGGACGAAGCTGTGATGAATTTCTTTATCTCTAATATAAATTTAATATTAATAATTGTTCTTTTTCGTCAATTTTGAGACAATGAAAATATAGAATATATTTTTATCCTTCATAAAAAAAGTTCTTTTTTCACCATTGATGATAATATTTTTTTGTTAGTTTAGTTCTCATGATGCAGCACATGAATTAATTAATTTGAAAGCCATCCTTTTTCTAACCAAAGACTGTTTTTTCTTAATAATTTCTTTCTTCAATGATGCTTCCCTTATTTCACAAATAATAATAAAAAAAACTTATGTCACTACAGGAAAATCACTTGTTAGTGACAGACTAACAAGGTAAATTCGTTGGAAATTTTGCTTCTCCTGCGAATTTTTGGCGGATATCCATACGAAGGCTATTCGCGCGTCGAAAAGTCTTCACCAGTGACTGGCAGATTTTCCGGCAAAAAATGAAGGTTGCACGTCATTTTCTTCGAGAGGATTCCGACATTTTATCCGCCTGTATTTTTTTTCGAAAATGTTGTGTCAGTATTGCCGGTGGATAATCCGCCGCCCTGTTCCGCCAGACTATTATAGACGGATGAAACTGGTGGATTATCTACCGAAAATATTGACGTAATGAATCAACTTGGAAACTTACATCATTTCGTTGAAATTTATATTTTTCGGCAAATAATCCGCCAACAACTTGCAATATAAACAAAAGATAATGCTAAACACACCAAAATGGTAAACGCACCTGCGTTAAAGCACATATTAATATACTCGAAAATAGCACCAGATTATACTTATTCAATGGCATTTATTTATTTCCCAATTGATCTCTTACTTATCTGTTTTTAAGTCAGCTGATGGCCAATTTTGCTGGTAATACCATTTACTAATACTATAAAATAATCAATGAGATGGTTGGGCAGTGGCTCTCCTCTCCTATACACTCTTTCTCTAATAAAGAAAATATTTTTGTTGAAGCTTTTATGGATCAAACTAACAAATTAATTACTAATAAGTGAAATGATGAGTACGTGTATGTGATGGCAGGTGTGAAGTCATTCCTAAAGCCTCCAAATCAACAGTAATCAAAGTAAAAGGAGCTGTAGTTCACATGCACCAACCAGATCATAATATTTTTTTATAATATTTATAATATACAGAAGCCAGGTATGTCTTGGTCGCTTTGCTGTTTGAGCTAGAAGAGGAGAATTAGGTTTTTGAGGTTAGGCTTTCTTCTTCTTCTTCAGCTCTCTCTTTCTCCAGGGTTTCTTCGTGTTCTTCAGCCTTCTCATGAGTTTTTCCCTGATTTCTATTGTTTTTTTGTTACATGATTGAAATTGAACTATACTTATCATAATTAGGAGAAAAAAATATCATAGAAACTGAACATAAAATTAAGAACTTCTGTCTTTTAATTCTTTGTCTTTAATTTTCTCCTCAGCTGTTTTATTAAAATAAATTACTTTAAGCTTCCCGATCAAAAGCTTTTTCTTAGTGAAAAGCGCTTCTTTTCATATTTTGGATTGTTGTAGTGGAGAGTTCCAGTACTGAAGATTTTCATATCAGTAATGATATTTCTCTTTGATATATGCTGGATATTTGCTTATGATTAGTAGCACTAAGTACAACCGGCTTTATATTTCATTACTGATCACCATTACTTTCATTTTTGTTATTAATCTCTCAAGGTACTTCTGATCTGAAATAATGGAATCAAGAACTTTTCACTGGGTTTCAGACTTGGTAAGTGGAAAGATCTTAAAAAAGAAAATTGGTTGAGGATATCCTAAGCTAAATTCACCTCTTCCAGATACTAAATTTTTTTTATTGAACTGTAGTAGAGCACTTCTGTCTAATTATAAGCTGACCAAAATTAAGAGAGAGATGTAGTTAGTTACTTTTATTAGAAGAAGAAAAAAAATGTAAGAAGATCTCTTTTATTGTTCCATAATTAGCATTCTGAGCTAAATTTAGTTAGGTATATATATATATATATATCATTTTGTAAATTTTTTCTGAATATAGAGTGCATGATTTCTAGGGTTTGGATGATGCAGCTGGCTTCATTATGCAGCAAGAATTGAGCAATCTGAATCAGTACAGCCCTCAAGAATTAATATCAGCTTCATATGATAATGATCTGCAACAGTCCATCTCTTCATCCGAAAGCTTTACTTTAAACCCTTCTGTTTACTCTGTGGAAAAGTTCATGGAAGCATCTCAAGGAATGTACAAAGCTGATCAAAATGGCATTTTTTTGGTGCCTGATGCCCCATTTCTCCTGTCATTTAACCAATCTCAAGTTGAAAATATTAATATCTATGATGCCGATGTGCCAAAAGATATCTGTATTAAAAGGAAAGGTGGAGTGGTTAATGGTGAAACTGAGAGGAAGAAGATGAGGATGGGCTTAGGGCAAGCTGCTTATGCCCTTGATCACATACTTGCTGAGAGAAGGAGAAGGGAGAAGCTTAGCGAAAGGTTCGTAGCACTTGCAGCTATCATCCCTGGTCTTAAGAAGGTACGTGAAATAATCTGTGAAAGATGATATCTGGTATTTCATATGAAGTTTATAAAATGTATTTTCTGTCTACAAAATAACCAAATGAGCTTTTCAGGAACTTTATTTCAGTTTGATACAATCAGTTATCGATCGTAATCTTATAAGTTAAGTTATAAATGGTAAAAAAAGGTGTAATTAAAAGATATTTTTATTATAATTATAAGAAGATGCTGCTAATAATAAACATCAGTTAAAAATACTTCAGCAGCGCTATAAGTCTCAAACTTCTAATAGTTAATGTTAGTGGTCAACAAACTGCATTCATGATGTTTGGGAGGGAAATATAAGTAAGAAGCTTTGATATTTAAGAGCAACTGATTTAAAATTTCATGACATTTCATCTTTTTTGAAATTTTTTTTTCAAGGATAGAAATTTATCCCTCATATTTTATTTAAAATAAGATTGGCACATGAAAAGCTACATAGTTTAAACTCACATTGAGAGCAGATTAATTCTTTCGCTCTACATCTGCTATGTGAAACTCGAGATCGATACCTTAATTAAGGTTTCGTTTGGGATGACTTTCTTATTGCTTCTTAAAACAGTGTTCTAGTACTACAATATTGTTTTAAGAAGCATTAAGAAAGCCATCTCAAAAAAAGCGTAAGTCCCTTTAATTCCACCTTTCTTAATGGGCTTGCATGTTCTCAAATACTCAACAACTCTCTTCTTATTCTGCCACAACAAGGAGTTGCAATAACAAATATATATCATAAATGCATGAATTGCATGCTTCTATTTTGCTGAAAGCCAAAATGGTATATGTGAAGTAGTATTCCAATCATCCAATCATCCAAAACATTAACGAGTAATTAGTCTAAAGCTCCATGTGATCTTATATAGTTGTCTGATGACAAATCATTCAATGATTAATTTTGAAAGTTACGGATAAAAGATGGGTTGCTAGAATTAGGTGATATTTTTACGCAGCTCATCTTGATTTGTTGGTTGTGAGCATGTGATGTGTCTGAAATTTATCTTAATTGATCTAAATATTAAAAAAAAAAACCTTCAAAAGATAGATTTGCTTCTCAAAGTAACATTGTATGCATAATTCATTATTTCTCCAAATTTTTATAGCTTTTTGACATCATTCATTAATTTTGATAGTTAGCTGTACTACAATAATGCTGAGTTAGTGTCCCTCTTTGGAATCACACTTGTTAAGAAGAAGTTTAAGAACTAATTAAAAGTCCTCCTTATCAATGATTGATCTTTAAATCAACAGATTAAAGATTTATGATGTGAAGTACTTCACCTTTTAAGAATGATTAATACTTTTCAAGCTCACTGTTTTTTATGCTCAACAACTCCTCAGTTCACGTGACACTTGTCATTTCTTATAATTTGTGCTTTTTGTGATACAATAAATAAATAATTAAAAATACAAAATCATAACTTTTGATTTATTTTTCTTAAATCTATATATTTGAAAGAAAAAAGGGGTTTTACTTGTTGCGAAAGAATTAGTTTGTAACAAGTGGAAGAAAAGTTTTTAGCTTTCTCTTAGCAGTAAAGAGATATATATCGCGTCTAAAGAGCACTTCTCTTGTGGAAAACATTTTTTTCACCCACTCAAATCAATATATTTTCAATATGATATCTCTATGATATACTTCATAGAAAAATAAATAAGACCCTTCACTTATGATGGGAGAAACAATGCTCACTATCTTTAGTGTATTAGAAAGCAATAAAAAAGCTGTTCCAAAGAAACTCTATGCCACTATTTTTTTCTGCTTTCAAGAAATTTTTATACTAAAAATGACTTTGTACAACTAACTCACGTGCACCCATATCTTCACACTATTAAGTAATTGCTCTTTCTCATCCATGAATCAGATGGACAAAGCTTCAGTTCTTGGAGATGCAGTCAAGCACATCAAAGAGCTGGAGGAAAGGGTGAAGAACCTTGAAGAAGAGAAGATTGAGAGGAAGGCAGTGGAGATTGCCACAATGAACATTATAAAGCCCTGCCATGATCATTCCAATGACTGTGAAAGCCCTATATCTTCTGTGGAGAATAATAATATTATTAATAGCAGTTCATCTCATGATCAGAAACTCCACCCTCACCACATAAAGGTTAAGATTTGTGACAAGGCAGTGCTCGTAAACATACACTGTGAAAATCATAAGGGAGTTTTGGCTAAGTTGGCTTCTGATATTGAGGACCTCCACCTCATGGTCAGCAACTTTAGTGCCGTGCCTTTCATGGGGTCCTCCTTCCTTGATATCACTGTGGCTGCTCAGGCAAGTATATTAATAATTTCATAGACATATATGTATATTTATAATACACATATATAAGAAGATATATAAATGAAAGAACATAATGACCTATGTTTATATACGTTGACATTTATATTAATACAAGAAAATCACATATTAACGACAAATTTTTCCGGCGGAAATTCGCCCTGTTCCGCTGGAGAAATCCGTCGGAAATGGTCAATTTTCCTGTAGTGTATATTGGATTATTATAATTAAAACAGAATTTTAACATCATGCATGCATCTTTATGATGCATAAAAATGACAAGCACATGCATATATCAAATCATGAACTTGTATATGATAGAGCATTTTCACATGCAACAAAATAATCATATTTGCAACGTAAATGATCATTTTAGGGAAATATGTCATAAAATTATTCGGTGCAGTTGATCAATCATCACTTTCTCATGTACCCCACTCCTATATTTAATATGCCACAAAAGTATAAGTAATTCAAATGTGGTCGATTTTGCGGGTGTGGAAGCATTCATGTTCTATATCTCTTCAGATATGTGCAGTGCTGTACTCATGCCATTTAATTTGCATGCATTGGCATAAATGCATAAGTTGTAACAAATACTTTTGATTTTATTTTGCATTCAAAGGTTGAAGATGGTTCCTTCATAACAGTGGAAGATGTTGCAAAGAAGCTGAACGCAGCTTTAAGCCAGTGCAACTGATGAATGTGCTTTTTGTAAAGTATAAAGCTGCGGTGATATTATCTGTCGTGCTAGCTTTCATTCAAGCTATCATTCAGTTTTATTTGAAATGAATGAAAACAATAATCTCCCAGTTATTTCTTGTTAATATATGCTTCATATGTACATAGAATCTGAAGAGATCAATGCCTTGTTTACTTCATGTTTATATCTATAGTTTTGATAGTCCCTCCAGTGATGGCCATTATTTTTACTTTCTTCTTCTCCAGTGCTTTTTTGGGTTGTTGGTCAATTCTAATTCTATCAATGTGAGAGCTTAGAATTATTTTTTTGCTTTCTTTCGGTGCATTGTTGCTCCACTATTTTGATCTTAACATCAGCCAATCCAAACCTTCAACCATGATAATCCAAGCTGCCGGATGAAAACAAATGAATTAATCCCCAAGGTCAAGAGGAGGATTTGCCAGGGGTGGAACTGGCGTTAATTTTCAGGGGGCATACTTATAAATAAACATATAGAGATTTTTTTCATATATATATATATATATATATCATTTTAGTGATTAATAATTCTTTGTACTTGAATACATAATGCATTTTAAAAATATGATCAACATCTTATATAATGACAATTATTCTTAAACAAAAATTAGGTTGAAGTATGGATGATTTGTTTGCGAAAAAAATTAAAATGATGTAATTAATTAATCATTCAATTTCTACAAAATGTATGTTGAAGCTGCCTTGAATTTGGCTCGACTCCTATTTGTTCACATCGGTCCTTGATCGTTGTATGGGCAGATATGTTGGGGGTCAGGTCGCGGGGTCAAGGGGCGCTGCCCCTGCAGAGGATTTCCTAAAGACCAGACAAATTTTGATTGTGAGAATATTTTTGGTTTCTCTTTACTATTTCTTTTTGTATTTGGTTCATCGTTCCTTAACAATAATACCTTTACACGATATGCTTAATTATGTTGGGGAAAATTTACTAAAAACCATGGTATTTTTAAGGGGAGGGGGATTTAAAAAAAGATGGAGCGGAACAAATTATTAAAAAATTCATGTAATAAACAAATTTTAAATTTTTTTAGAGAGGCAATTGCCCCCTAGGCACTTCGGGGTTCCGCCTCTGAGCTCTGCAACCAATTGTATAATAGCCATAGAGCCAAATAAACCGAATTGTGCAGTTCATCTTGAGGGTTTCAGCTCTAGTCACAAGGTTTTCAATCCGAAGCCTACCATGCATGAGTTTATGATGAATTCACATGAAATTAAAAAAGAAAATTCATTAAGTTAAACTTATAACAATGCACTTACAATGATGTATGAGAAACTAAAGACAGTAAGAAATAACTATTGAGTGCACTGTAAAGTTGCATTTGGAATTTTAGTGACAAATTTAATGTATTTGGATGCATGACAATATGTGAGGCAAATAAATATATAGAAAAATATAAAAGTTGTTAATCATTAATAAGCTGCAGTGCTTAACGCACTGGTTACCTTCTTTTGAATGTCATTATTGTTAATTATATGGCTGTCAGAGCGCATGCACACTGACACTAACTCCTTTATGAAGTGTAGTTTTAGGTGTGGATAAGTTTGATAATTAAGAATGTTAACAAAAAAAATTAAGATGAATGATTAAACTAAAGCTACTTGCTTAAAATAAAGATTAAGGAAGCTAATTATGAGGTTAGTTGGAGATTTGCATCGAGCTGGCCTAATTAGGCCATCATTAATTATTAAAGCCTGTTTTGATGCCTTTCATTAGTTTAAGGGATATGATTTTGATATGTAGCTTTCAGGAGATTGTGATACAGCTGGTAGCAGTGGGCTCCCTCATCATCATTTATGAGGTGTTAGTTGAAGGGAAGCATTGGCAATACCCACGTGTAAGCTTAGCAATAATTAGAAGTTATATTACAGTACTATGGTCATTGTTTAACTTTGTTTCCCACGTGTAAGCTTAGCTACAATGAGAAGCTATAAAGATACATAAAAATTTAGGCTTAGAGCCATCCTGGATAAATAAATATCTGCCTATAATTCATTTGGTTTTAGTTTCAACTTTTGCTTTAGTTTTAGTTTCAATTTTTCATACGCCATTTTTACGGCACTATATTTTTAGTTCTTTTGATTTTAGTTATTAATTTCTATTTTAGATTGTGATAGTTTAGTGAGGTGTGCTAGCTTATTCCTTCTTTGATTTCTATTTTCAGTCAAATTAGAGGAGGATATGATGTGAACTGAATAGTTTTGGATAGCAGTATCTGATATGTGCTATAGGTATGTTTTTGTTAGTTTTAATTTTTGCAGGCTTGACTTTTAATTTATTATTCTTTATGTTGTCAAACACTGTTGTAGATAGATTTTAGATTGTATATATTTTAGATGATATATAAAAAAATATTTTGAGATTCAATGGTTTTTGGCTTTATATTGTATTTAATAGTGACTATGTAAAGTATATAAATTGGAAGTTTATTTCAATACTTTTCTTACTAGATCTTGGAGTTAGTTTTTTTCATAATCAGACACGGTATGACCTGTGTGGTATCAGGTCATATCAGGTCAGGTTGTGGCAAGCTTTTTGGCATTAGAGTAAGGTTGGATAAGTAAATCGTAATAGAGCTATAAGATTTAATTTGTATAAGAGTGAGATGCTTCTGGGTAGTTTTGGGCGTCATTTTATTTATTCTTAAATGCATTTGTTACATTCAACTGTGTTCAGTGTTATGATATGGTTGATCCACCTAAGCCAAATCCATATAAGACCAATGGTCAGAGCTCTAATCGGGCAGCTCAGGTTCAGGGTATGCTCATGTGATCAATTTTGAGGTGATTTCCTTGATTATTGGTTTGATAGTACAATTGATAGGTAAAGCTCATACTCAAAATTTTGGTACCCAATCTAATGATATGAACATATGTTTATATAATTTTTTGAGTTTAAAATCTCATAGACTATCATGTGTTATTAAGCTTAGAGTAGCTGATGTTTGACTCATGAGGATAGAGAAGACTCTGAATATGATGCATTATCCTTCTAAGAGGAGAGTTATATTGGATGTATTTTTATTGGATGGTGAGGCACAACATTGGTGGCTTGGCTTGTATAAGGAGAAACTTCAGGGTCGTGCAAATACTTTGATTTCTTGGAAGGAGTTTATAGAGACATTTGAGACTTGGTTTGTGCCTCCATTTGTTAGGAGACAATTACCAAGTTCTTTCCTGAAATTGATTTAGGGAGGCATGTTAGTGATGAAGTATGAGACATAGTTGACTGATCTCTCTAGATATGTTTCATAGTTGATTAACACTTGAGAGGAGATGTGTTACTGATTTTTGGAAGGTCTTAGAGATGCTTTGAGGCAGTCCTTATTGGCATAGGATATTATAGATTTTGCTTAGTTGATCGAGAGGGCCAAGAAGATAGAGACTGATTTGATAGTAGTACAGTAGCATTAGACTGCAAGCAGGAAATGTTATGGTGGTGAGACCATTGATAGTAATCATTATGGGAAGAATAATAGGTTTGGACCTGCTAAGTTTAGGAGGGGACTATCGATAGAAATTTCTTTTTGGAGCTATGATAGGAGTGGTGGAGTAACCTATAAAATTGTAAAATGAATTAGGGATTTGCCAATTCCTAATAACGGTTAGGTATTTATTTGATTAATCGATAGTTGGTAGACCAAGGAAAGTACCATCGTGACCATATTATGAAGCTTCTAGTAGCCGGGATGTTGGTCCTGTATCATGAGGTTAACATTCTGGAAGTTTATGGGGTGCAGGTAATTCTATTTCTTTGACCCCAGTACAACCACGAGTTTACAGTCTGATGCAGCAAGAGGCCAAGGAGTCTCTAGATGTTGTGATAGGTATATACGACCTATATTTCTGCATCTCTTTGTTGTATTTTATTTTATTCTGGTGCCACTCATTCTTTTTAGAGCAATATTTTGATTATCTCAGTTTGCCTTCCGCATTATTATTTGTTTCTTTGTTAGTGATTTTGCCTATAAGAGATGGAATGATAGTTAGGAGGATTTATTTTTAAGATTTAGAGTTTTTTGATAAAGTTTGGAGATCTGGTTTGATTTTATTATCTATTTTTGTATTTGATGTCATTTTAGGTATGGATTGGATGAGTCGATATGGGGCTCATATTGACTAATTATAGATGAAAGTGACTTTGTATTAAATGGTGAGAGCTTTGTATTTAAGAGAATAGAAGGTATTCTTTCTTGTCTAATTTTTTTACTTTAAAAGTGGATAGGCTTTGTAGAAAATATAACCTAGTATTTTTAACAACTATCAGAGATGTGAGAATCTCTTCTGCATATGTGAGTAGTGTCGCTATTGTTCTGGTTTTCATATGTCTTCTCTGAGGGGTTGATGACTTTATCGCCTTACATAGAGGTAGAGTTTGTACAGATTTTTTTCTGGTACAACTTTGATCACAAAGGCTTTGTATCAAATGTCACCTAAGGAGCTTCAAAAGTTGAAGGTTTAACTTTAGGAGTTTGAGGATCGAGGCTTTATATATCCTAGTGTGTCTCCATAGGGAGCGACTATATTATTTGTCAAAAAGGAGGATTTTTCTGTCAGAAATTACTTACTTTACTATAGTGGAACCAATGCTGGTGGTCGGATGGTGAAAGGTCTGATATTGGCATGATAGTTGTGAAAGGTTTGACAATGCTGGCCGAACAATGAAAAGTCTAACGTTCGTGGTTAGGCGGTGAAATGTTTGAGGGTAGCGATAAGGAAGTGAAAGTTTTGATGGTTGGTGGGAGGTCCTACGGTGGCTTTCATGCGATGGAGGTTTGACAACCATGGTTGGCTAGCGAAAGATCAATAGCGATGGTGCTCGAGTGGAGCCTCGAAAAATTTGAAGCCTTTAAGCTCTATTCATTTTCTATCAAATGGTCTACCTCATATATAAAGTATGGATCTTTTTTAGAGATTTTTAGAGTGAGATGCATCGTAAATATGAAGGAATCTTGAATAATCCATCAGATGATCCATATTGATTCCTTTGAACATAATCATTTTTTCATCATTTAATTGTTTTAATAGTATCAAAATAAAGTGATACTGAACTCATTAGATTTGTCTCGTCGAGCTGCTCCGATCCAAAATGACTCTAAGCACGACAAATTTGGAGATCACTTGGTCCCATAAATAATGTTTGAAGTTTTCAATTATGCTTTAGGTACTTGATTTAGGCTCATTCAGGCTTAGATTGGACAACTTTTTGTATCATTGAGTTCATCTTGTTAAGATGTTAAGTTAAATATAAGTTTGCTTAAATGGAAATTAGGATGGTCTAAATTTAATTTTGAAAGTTTGTAATTTAAATATTTCTCAAGATTCATGTCCGATTATGACTATTTTTGTTGATGTATCAATACTTAATCAAGAAATTATATATATGAGTAAAAGTATTAAAAAATCTTACTAGAAGTCTTATTACTCAAGGTTCTAAAAGAACTTGAATATGAATGTATGTATATATATATATATATATATATCGTTAAACATAAGATTTTGGCATTGTATGTATAGACTAAAACTTGTTAAGAGATTTATCATTACATGGGAAACCATCCATAAAGAAAGGGGCTTTTATTCTATACGGACACCGGATGGGAGAACCATCTAGTTAAGCACTGAGTACCCAGCGGTACCGAGTGCGGGTACCGAGCTGGGTACCCAGCAATGAGGTGGCGTGGTGCATTTTTATTGGTCTCCGAACACAATCCGCACTCCGCACAGAATAATAAATCAAAGGGCACATTATTTCAAGTGCATTATATATTGTTAATGCATTGTGACTATGTGAGTGAATTTTCATGCACACATACCCAGCATTTTTTTTATTCCAAATTTTTTCTTGGAATAAGATATATATAAAAGGAAACCATTATAAAAATAAACTAAGACTTAGGTGATTCAATTAAATAAATAACATATTATATACATGAAAGAAGAGATGATTCATTCTACAACTAAAAAGCCATGTAAGACAAATAAAATGGGTAGAAGAAAACTCTCTTCCCTAAATTCAAATATATATGTCCAATTTCATACATAAGAGAAACCCCACATTTAATAGATCCATGATTATGTGTGGATTGTGTAGGGGTGTCAATATTTGACATGACCCGAAAATCCGACTCGAACCTTACCTGAGATTTCTGGTTTAGGGTCAATCCATTTGACAAATGGGTTGGGTTCAAGTTCTAAATTTCATCTCATTTGAAAAATCTAATCAGGTCAGGGTCAATCAGCTAACCTGAAAGTGACCCGGCTCTGACCCGAACTCGACGCCGCAAGGCTTCTCTTGATTTGTCGATTTCGACGATTTTTGTATGCCCATAAGCCACAAGGCTTCTACCTTCTCCCGTAAGGCCACAAGCAGCATGTCTGCATGCAACGCCGACAAGGGCTATAACGCAGCAACGCATGCCCACAAGCCATATGGGCCGCGACCTGCAAGCCTACAATGCCGACAAGGCCACCCGCAACGTCTGCAATGCCGCCAAAGCCTAGTGTTTGCTTTGCACAACGTAATGGTCAGAAGTCACGACAGCTCTAAAATCTAGGCTCTCCTCTCTATTAATGATTACTAGTTCTAAAATGCATTCTATTTCCAATGAAGTTTATCTTGCTGATAAATTTTCTTTGGAATTTATTCTCTCTCCACTTGAACAAATCTAAGAGACCCTTGGCATCACCAATGATAATTTTATGGATGCTAACTTCTCTTTAGAAGTAATTTTCTCACCTCCCTTACTTCCTCAACAAATTTATGACACTTGTAATATTACTCTTGCTACTTTGGCTAGTAGCACACAAGAAAAATTAAAATTTATATGCACCCAAGTTTCTTTATATGAATTTCAATACAATTTATCACAAGGCCAGGATTAGCTCATTTTTGTACATTCATCTCATTAGGGCACTCTGTTGGAGGACTCTGATTTTTACTCGCATTATATTAACAAGCATTCTGGTATGGGAAAAAAAATTCATGTGAAATGCCCTCACTTTACTAGAAAATTATTAGGTCCGGACACTGGACGTAGAGATACGTCCGGTATCCAATAAAATATTGACATGTGGAATGTACACGTGTCTGCGAAATTTTAAGTCAAGCGAGCTAAAAGCGCAGGTAAAATGTAGATAAAGTGCAGGTATGGTGCAGGTAAAGAGTGGTCAAAAAACGCAGTCAAAGCACAGTTAAAGCGCAGTCAACATGACAATTTTTAATTAGATATCCGGACCTATTTTTAGGTCTGATGTCTGAATCTAATAATTTTCCCACTTTACTAGATCTACCTCCAAATCTCTTTTGTTATATTTTGTATCTAAATAGAAAATAGAGTATGCCTATATTTGCTCTCTATCTCTATCTTTTTTTCTTTTTTAGTTGGCCTAATCGCTTCTTCAGCAAGAGTTGTTTTAATTAATAATAATTATATTGTTTAAGAAAACTCACAAAAGGGGAATACAAAAGGGGGATCCCAAATCTCATAAGTTGAACGCAATAGTACAAGATGATAAGCACATATATAATATTTAAATCAGATTAATGTTTCATTTGGGACGACTTTCTTACTGCTTCTTAAAACAACTTTCTAGTATAAAAATTTTAATTTTCGTACTAGAAAACTGCTTTAAGAGCAGTAAAAAAGCTATCCCAAGCGAAGCCTAAAAACACTATAGTTGGATTTTCATCAAAGAAGCATCATTTCTGTCTCCTTCCCTCACCTGTTCTATTTCTCAATAATTAATTATACAGCTCTTAAAGACATGCATATATTTGATGCTCCTCTTTCATCTCCTATTTGTAGAAGTTCAAGGAGATGAAAAGCCAAAGAAAATCTTATTTAAATGGCAAAAAATTAAACATATTTAACAATATTTGTATTCATCATAAAATATGGCATCATAATTTTGAATCAACAATCCATGTAACTCCTCTTGAAATCAAAACCTCTAAAACTCTTAAAATCAAAAAGAGTTGATCACCACTCAATCACACAAGGGCCAAATGGATGTTTAAGGCTCTGTTTGAGGAACAATTATTACGTCCTTCGACCGGATGCAGAGGAACATCCGGTCCTAGGCAAAATCCCGCCTATACCGAGGTGTACCGAGTTTTTCATAATAAGAAATCATCCAAAACGAATCCATAATTATACTACCGAACATCCTATGAGTGTTTTTACAAATCACAAATCCCTGCTAAGTTAAAATACTTCACATCCTAGTTCTTCAAATCTCAAAATCCATTGAGTCATCATCATCAAACTTCTTCAGTATATGAAAAGTTCAATTTACGATGAATTTTTAAATGGACTTCAAGGTTTCGTTTGGGGGCAGCTTTTTTATTTTTTCTTAAAACAAATTTTTAGAACAAAAATTTAAATATTTGTAATACAAAACTGTTTTAAAAAACGGTAAAAAAGTCATCCCAAATGAAGTTTAAGTGTCCAAAAAATTAAGCTCTAATAATATTAATTAATTAAATAATAATAAATTTTATTTAAGATTATATTATTCACAAAAAAATATCGTGGAGTAATGACGTCACACCATGGAATATAAATTTATCTGAATTATTTTGATTTCAAATCTAAATAATTGAATTGGTGTTTGCAATTCATAATATGTTATTATATAATTTTTATAATATATTAGTAATGAGAGAATGTGTTGATATGTAAAAGGTGAAGAATTTAAAAATATTAAAATAATTTGAATCTAATTAATATGTATTATTATGAAGACCTATATAGTTTTTTGTAGGGAATATATTACTTGAAAAACAAAATCTTAACAAATCAAATTATGCATAAATTTTGGTTGTAATATACAACTAACAAGTTCAAAATGACAAACTCATTGCCATAAATAATCACATGATTCTAATCTATAATGGCATTGTACATGCCAAAACAATCGACTAAAGTTTCGTTTGGGACAGCTTTCTTAGTGCTTATTAAAACAACTTTCAAATATAAAAATTAAAATTTTTTGTACTGAAAAACTGTTTAAGAAGCAATAAGAAAGATGTCACAAACGAAACTTAAGATTCTGTTTGAGACAATTTTCTTACTATTTTACTTGTCAGACCATAGCCACAATTTCTATTTGGTCGATTCTTTTTCGCTGCTTTCAAAAAAAATTTGTACAAAAAAACTACTTTCTACAACTTCAAAAAGTTATTTTTTACTAATCCTAAATTCCGACTAACTAATATCAATGAACAAAACCTAGACTTTTTAGCACCATTGTGATCTTAATAAACCATCGTTTCACAAACTGCCTAATATAAATTACTCATCTCAAGGGCGAATTATTGCGTCTAGTGACCGGATGTCCGGACATCCAATCCGGTGACGCCATGTCATCCAAATACACTGGGTTCCGGCGTATTTGGGTGATGTGGCGATATCGGATTGGTGTCCGGACGAATCCGGACACCGGACATAATAATTTGCCCAGCTCAAGTGATGAATATATCCATATAAAAATGAACTAACATTGTAGTTATTTTCCAGTGACCCTAAATTGAAGACAATAAATCTACTTCTAAAATTTCATAAGGAATAATTTTCTTATTGCTTTCTAATACATTTTTCAATCATAAAAATTTCTTGACAGTAACCAAAAAAAAATTTGTCAAAAGCTGCGTCAAACATACCATAAATATTTGAAAGAAGAATCCAATTTTCATGTATAGGTATATGGTAGATCATTGCAGTGAATCTCCGCCATCTTTTTTTTTTTTCAGTTAAATAGGAGCATATTAAAGAATTATTACAGCATTTTAAGAGTTGTTTTTCCAGGCATAAAATACACATTACCACATGGATATGCTGCTCTCTACTTTGCAGGGATGATTTTCCTTCACTTTTTAATGAAAGCAATTCCTTTCTGTATACTTTCTACCAACTCTTTCTTGGCTTTCTCTAATCCAGCCCTGAACCAGAACAAAACACAGTACTTAAGCACCAGGCAGCAAAGAGTTTTTTTTTTAAAGGAAAAATCCCCTAAAGCTTGTCATCAGGCATAAGCACTCAATAATTAACTTCAGTCTATGGATGAAATATGGTGTAAATCCACTAGAATCTATGAAGAACAAAATTTGCAGATGAATACAAAATCTTAGAATGAAAAATATGAATATTTTTGGGTTGGGATAACCGACCTTTCATACTCACTCAGTGGTCCAAGAGAGTAGATTTCTTCAATTCCATTACGGCCTAATCGAACTTTTGATGAAAAAAATGGCAATTCTGTCACCTGCAAATGCAGAATGATGCATATATTAGAAAATAAGCAAGAAAAAATACTTAATTTTGAGCATAACATAAGATGTCAGGCACCTGGGAAGCAACAAATGAACATTCGACAACATCGGCATCACCTCGCAGTCCCCGCAAGCATGAATCAGCAAATTTAGCAGCAGCAAATGCCTGCAAATGAAAACAGAACAGAAAGAGACAAATAACAATTAAGCTAAACAAAGTTTACAATCAGTAGAGCCGTTAATTGAAAAGAAAATTAAAGGAGAATACCATAGAGAGTGTTGCAGAACCAGCTCCTGCTTTTGCCTGTATTAACCATAGCAAGTTCCTTTACAAAGTCATTCTAATGAAAAGTTTTCATTAATGCATCAACAAAAAATTTTAGAGTGTTGCCTATGAATAACGAGTAGTTGTTAAAATACCATAAGACTCTCTCTATGGCATCTTATGAAAACAATTAAGAACCTAGGCTGATGCAGGACAAATATGAAATTATAATTTAGATAAGGATTTTGCACGCTTAATGACGAGGACATTCATAGAAGATTCCGGCACACGTATCATTGGAGGGGTCGTCGATCGACGACCATGATTCAGAGTCTTTATTTTTTATGTTTTATTTTATTCATGCCATTTATATTTCCTGTTTTCCATTTGTACCCCTATGAGGGAGTTAGTGTTTATTGTAGCCCAAGAGCAATGTCCTCTTTATGACTTTTATTTTCATATGGCCTATATATAGGCTTTGTCATTGTATTTGAGATTAGTTTTTAATGAATGAAAAAATTTGCTCTTTGTTCTTTTTGTGAGTGCATTCCTCCGAGATCTCTTAGTGAGTTCGTCGGAGAAACTAGATCTCTTTGTGAGTTCTAGTATTCGCCCAAGTTACTTGTGTGGAAATCTGGATTGAAGCTAGTTGAGGTTAGTGAATTCGTAGCCGCTCGAATCCCTAGAAAATTCCCTTTCTCCCTCCCCTTGCCCTTGCCGCCGCCTAGCACAAGACCTCCCAAGCCGCCGGCCACTTGGCTGCCACCTCTCGCCGGCCGGCCAACCCCACGCCGTGACCCGCCCCTTGCCCCTTCCTCTAGCAACCGGCCGCCCCCTCCTTTCAATTTCAAAATTTTCATGAGCCATTAACTGTTTCCTAATTTAACTCCCTAATTTATGCAATCAATTTAATTGAATTTCAATTTCAAATTTGAAATTTAAATTGATTCAATTATTTTAGATTTTTGTAAAATCTGTAATTAATATTGTGGTCCCCATTAACCAAGACTCAAGCCCCTCTCTCCTACTCATGTGGCCGGCCCCCTTCATGGGCTCCTTCTCTCTCCCTAATTAAATCCAATTCCCCACAAAATCAGCCCCAAATCCCTCCCCTCATTGCCGCCCCCCTCCTTAATGGGATTCAATTTGAAATTCACAATTAATCCCTTCCCTCTCACCCAAAACCTGAAATAATTTCAGAATTCCTGAAATTTTCTCTCTTGATCTCTCAACATAACCGCCCCCTTCAAGCCCTCACGCCGGCCCAATCCCTTTTCCTCTTTCGCCACCACCACATATCCTCTTTCTTCCTCTTTGATGCTCCTTCAACTCCCGGCAATGATGCATGGCGGATCTTGAACTTGAAGGCGGACTCGTATTCGACATCTACAGAGACATCCACGTTCTTCGATCTCCATTTTTCACGTGGGTTTGACCACGACAACACCATTGACGAGTACTTGGATCAAATCCTTCCCACCCTTGTGCACGTCATCGACCGGCAATTTTCAGACTACGACTGGATCATCTACGGACATTCCCCCGCTTCCCCACCTTCACCGCCGCCGCTTCCCTCGCCATCACTACGGATCGTCTGCGCCGTCTACCTTGGAGTGATCTCGTTTCTCATATGGTTCTTTTTCCTCCGACAATCCTAGAAGTAGAAGAGTGTCTTTATGCCTCAAGATGAGACAATTACTTTGTTAACCGTCGGATTCTAGTTGACTAATCATATCATTACGTTTGCTTAAGTTGTTATTAAGAATCTTGCAAATTTAGTTGTAATGACTTGCCTAAACATTGTTAACTTCTAAAATCTTGTTTTGATTTGTCAAATTTGAGAAGCATTAAACTACTCTATCATTACTCGAACAAATTTTATTATTTTTTAAGAAAACAATTCTTGGTTTCACATCACTTAATGCTTAAGAGCAAATTAATTAAATCTTGATGGTGATTCAAACAATGAATTAGAACACAAAGAGCGGTAAAAACTAGCTTAGACCAAGTTACTTGCAAAAAATAAAAGCCACAAAATAACCAATTACTCTTATTCTCTTAACGTTGCATACAAGATAGATTTCAACAAGAAATCCCTAATTTAACAATAAGAGCGGTGCTATGAAAGATCCCTCACACAATTCTACTAAACATTAAGCTTTAGCGAAGCGTTACAAGATTTACGTGGATCAATCAAAACCACAAGTAGGGATCAACTGGAAGGTATGAGAGAAGGAAAGAGTTCACCTTACCAAGATTAAACCTTCCTGCAAGCTTGGACAACAGTTGGTGGCTGTAGAAACCTTTGGACAACACACTTCTATGTCCGGAAAATCTCAGGCAGCGAATGGAGTATTCTCCAAGCAGTTGGACAGCAAGGTGGATAGCTGGAATCTCTGGACAGCACTTGAATGGTGGTTGAACAGCAGGTGGGAGTCAATCTGAACAGCAGCATTGCTGATTTAAGGGAACTCCGGGCAGCTACCTCTTGGTCCAGAAATCTGGACAGCGATTTGGGCTATTAAGGAACTAGAAGGGGAGCTAATGGGTGGAGAAATTTGTATTTAGGGTTAGGGAAACCAAGGGGTGGCGGCTAGGTAGAGGGGGAGGGGATTGTGGAGATGAAATCATGGGTTGCTTGATTTGGAATTCAAAATTAGGAAGGATTTGATTAATTCCAATCTAATTTAAAATTCAAAAGTGCTGAATTTAAAAACTTTCCTAAAATTAGATTCCTATGTTTGGAAATTTTAAAAATTCAAAATTGATTTGAATAATTGGGATCAAAGCTTTCCAATTGAGGTTGGGTGAAGTATGGAAAGTATTAATGGGAGATTTGAAATTTGGAGGCAAGGGGAAGGGGCTAGGAGTGGCCGGCAGTGTGGGGTGGTGGGTGAGGGGAGCGGCGGCTTGGTGGTGGAGAGCTTAGGGTGACCGGCGGCTTGGTGGTGGAGAGCTTAGGGTGACCGGCGGCTAGGACAAGAGGGGAAGAAGAGAAGGAAAAGATAAGGAAGAAAAGAGCCACGAACCCGAATGCTTCCAAGGTTTGGTAGGTGATCCGATTTCCCTCTTAGGGATTTCTCCAAGGCTCTCAAACTCTCACATCAAGAGAACAATATGCAGGAATTTTCTTTCATTATCATCATTAACCCTCAAAGAAAGAGGGGGGCTTTAAATAGTCCAAACAATGAGAAAATACTAAGTACTACTATGCCCTTAGGACTTACACATGTCTAAACCCTTACGTAAGGGCAAAAGTGGAAAAACATAATAAAACTTCATAAACAAAAACATCAATAATAAATATAAAAATCAAAAGAAAAGCAGTGCAATCGTGGCCATAGATCGACGGCCACGCCTCTGATAAACTTTCCATATCTTGATGTCCTCATCATGGGCATTCTTTCTCGTAAGAATGCAAAGGAGTCTGAGGGATCCAAGTATCTTATGAATTAGCTGTGGCCAATGGGAAAGTAAGTCTGCAAATTTCATATGTTATCCATTGACAGCTTAGCATTGCGTTCGATAATTAAAATTCTCTTGGGCTGAAGAGAAAAATGAATATGTTCTACTGAGATAAACCTCTCTGATAAATCAACAAAATTAATCATAAGAAGCTATAGGGAAACACTTGAGGATCTCAAGTGAAAACCTATCAATTTTGGAAAATAACGGGAAATATCCATAAAACTCCGATGAAAAACTAAAAAAAGAGCAACTTATTGCAATAATTAGAGATAACGTAAGGAAAATATCAAGATACAGTTGATCCTCAATTCGAGAGGAGATCTATCTCTCCCAATCTCTAGATACCGATAGAGCCAAAAAACGTCAAACACCAAGACAAAATCAAGATAATCCTAACTCTAATTTTTCCTTCATACTTAAAGCATACAATTAAACAACACATGCCAAATCCCTCTACAAGCCTAGCCGCCCCCTCCTTCTTAATGGGATTTCTTAGTGGGCCCCACAATTTCCTGGGGTGGCAATTCCTAGGGTCCTCATGTAAACCTGAGCCAGCCCTTTGCCTAGGGCTGGCTGGACCGGTCCAACATGGACCAGTCTAACAATGCTCTCCTCCTAAATAATCACCTTGTCCTTAAGGTGAAAGGAGGGGAACTAATGCTGCACCATCTCATAGGGCTCCCATGTGACGTTGTAGTCCGGTAGACTCTTCCATTTTATCAGAACTTCCTTAGTTCCCTCTTCTCCCCGACGAACCTCCATCAGCTCTAATGGTTCTAATACCACCTCCAAGTCCTTTGTCAGTGTCACTGGTAACTCAGAACTCGCTGCATGATCCCCAATTTCCCTCCTAAGTTGGGATACATGAAACATGGGATGTATAGTCACTGTCAATAGTAATTTTAGCCAATATGCCACCGCTCCAATCATCTCTAATACCTCATATGGCCAAAAGTACATTGGGGCAAGCTTCTCATTCCTCTTGTTAACAACTGTCTTCTGCCTATAAGGCTGGAGCTTTAAGAACACCATCTCCCTTACCTCAAATTAGATATTCTTCCTATGCTCATCTGCCTGTTTCTTCATAAACTATTGAGCCCTCAATAGTTGCCTCTTCACTTCTTCCAGCACCCTGTCCCTCTCCTCTAAGTACTCTACTGAAGAAACTAGGGTGCTATTATGCTCAAAATGTACTAGGTAAGGTGGATCACCTCTGTACAACGCTTTGAATGGGATCATCTGAGAAGTAGAATGATATGAAGTGTTGTATCAAAATTCTGCCAATGCTAACCATTTGGCCCACATAAGAGTCTTCTGAGCATCAGTTATCACATCCCCCCCCCCCCCTCTCTCTCTCACTCACTCACAAAAAAAAGATTATCAATAGCATCTCTTGTCGCACTAAGAGCCCATTCATTCACATGAAGCCTAGATGGGAATTACTTGCTCTTGAACCTTTTTCAACCATGGCAAGAAAAAAAAAACCAAAAATCAATCGAAGGAACTAACCATATGAAACAATTGTTTCCAATCAAACCATTAACTTTGATACCACTTGTTAGGAGGATGGAATATAAAGCTTGAGTTGAACCTAATATACTTACGGATAAACACCCATCAATCCAAAATCTCAAGTCAGTCAGTAATTGATACCAGTAGTATATTAGAAACTCAAACCTTGTTTCGCCCCAAATGTGGAACTACTATCCACTTCCATGTAGATCTTAATAACAAATAAGACACATGATCCAAATGATACATGGCATATCACTATAACCAATATAGATGGATGTTTTCTACACAATCTATGCACATTTAGCACAGTAAACACAAAATGTGGATATTCATTCAATCAGGTTATTTTCTCATCCTTGTTTACCTAAGAATCACTTCAACCATTACAAGGTAAATTTCTCCAATTTGAGTAGGGGTGTAATTCGGGTCGACGGGTCGGGTTCGGGTCAAACCCGAGTTGACCCGAATCTAAACAGGTCAACCCGAACCCGACCCATTTTTGCAAACGGGTTGGATATTTCAACCCGGACCCGACCTGGCCGGGTTGCCGGGTTGACCCGACCCGACCCGCGATCCGGCAGTGGGCGACGGCGCGAGGGTTAGGCAGCGAGCGCGGCACACGGGTTCGGCAGCGGGCGCGGCACACGGGGTCAGCAGCGAGCGAGGGCGCGCGCGCGGGAATCCAAAATTTTTAAATTAAACGGGTTTTTGGGTTGACCCGCCGGGTCAACCCGAACTCTACCTGTTTTTCAAACGGGTCGAATCTGCGAACTCGAACCCGACCCATTTTTCAAACGGGTCGAATCTGCGAACCCGAACCCGACACATTTTCAAACGGGTCGGGCCCAACCCGGATTTTCCGGGTTGGGTCCGGGTCGGGTTTTCGTGTCGTGTCAAATATTGACAGCCCTAAATTTGAGCATGATGGTCGGCCTTAAACATCATTATTGAAGTGTTACCTGTTGCCTCAAATAGCATAGCATTTGAAATTCCATAGTAGAAAATTTAGAGTTTAGAAAAAATGTAGTAGTTCCATATAGCATGAAGTATAGTCTTCATGCGTATAGCACCCACATAGAAGCTATTAGACTCACTGAGGTAAAAAATTCACCTTTACACAACAAAACTCAAAAAATAACTTTGGACTAGAAATATTAGATCCAATGATTACACTTTAGAAAGAAAAAATATCACAGTTTGCATTTAAACTAATAGTTTTCCATAAGACACTCATTTACCTCAACAACTTCAGTTCCACCATTCTGTATACGATCAGTGAGATAGCTAATTTCCTCAGAGGTTAAAGAACAGGGGGGTTTCACCTGCATTGAGGATATCATTCTCCATAAACCATCCAAAACATTAAGTAAATTCTCCAAATACAAAAGATTAGAAATATAGCTCTTTAGAAACAAAGAACACATAGCGGAAAGGCCTAAGGACAAGGGGTACCTGTGATAACAGAGGCAATATAGTAACCCCCGCATGACCGCCAACTACAGGAACATTGACTTCCCTTGGGTCAAGTCCCAAAACTTCTGCCTGATATATCCATGAAATATAGTAGATGTAATGATCCATCATCATACATGGTTACCGCTATAACCACAAAAAAATTAATGCAATTTCATTTTAATTAGTTAAATAACAACTATTGGACATGAAGATCAAACATGTAATGAAAATTAAAAAAATGGCCTCAAGAGACTGCAACTTAAAAGTACAAAACTGATACCTACCACAAAAGTATTAGCTCTTACTACATCCAATGTCGTCACACCCAATAAATGCTTGGGATCAAAGGTACCCGCTTTCTTAAATACCTCCGCTGCAATTGGAACAGTTGAGTTCACAGGATTGCTGATCAAGTTCACAATTGCATGTGGACAACATTTGGCGACCCCTTCACATAGTGTGCGAACAATGCCAGCATTGATATTAAACAAGTCATCCCTAGTCATTCCAGGCTTTCTTGGGACACCAGCAGGAATAACGACAAGGTCCATTCCAGTGAGTGCACTGTCCAGTTGTTGTTGGCCCAAGAATCCACGAACCTGCCCAAGCCACAAGCTGACATTATTATGAATTTGAATACTTTACAATCAAATTAAAAGTTCATCAAACAATATGGAACAATATCGACCTTTCTAAATCCCTAAATACACAAATAAGAACATAGATCAATATGAAAAAAACACTCAACTAGACAGCCATAATTGGCTATAATAAGATTGTCAACAACAACAACATCAAGCCTTTATCCCACCATTTGGGGTCGGCTAAATGAGTAATTTTTTTCCATTGTGTCATGTTAAGAGTCAAAATCTCATTTAAATCTAACAAAGAAAGGTCATTTCTAATATTTTCTAACCAAGTTTTTTTAAGTCTATCTCTACCTTTCTTAATATAAGCCAAATCTAATACATTTACTGTCCTAACTGGGTCATCTGAAGGCCGCCGTTTTATGTGACCAAACCATCCAAGGTGACTCACTCTAATCTTATCTTCCACTGGAGCTACTCCAACTTTTTCACGTATATGCTCGTTTCGTATCCTATCTCTAAGAGCAACGCCACTCATCCACTTGAGCATTCTTATCTTTGCAACACTTAACTTAATATTATGCTTCTCGTTTAATGGCCAACATTCTACAACATAAACATTGTAGGTCTCACTACCATCTTATAGAACTTTCCCTTAAGTTTGAGGGAGACTTTTCTATAACACAACAAGCCTGATGCATTCCTCTACTTCAACCATCCAACTTGACTTCTACTAATAATATCCCCATCTATTTCACCATCACTCTTAACAATAGACCCAAGATATCTAAAATGTGTACTTTTATTAATGACTTGATCGCCCAAAGTCACAATCCCCTCATTATATCTATTACTACTAAAATTACACTCCATATATTCAGTTTTAGATATAGTTAAACGAAAACCTTTAGACTCTAAGGTTGACCTCCATAATTCAAGTTTACCTTCAACTCACTCTCTAGTCTTATCAACAAGAAGAGTATCATAAAAAAAAAAGTATATACCAAGGTACAACCTCTTGCAAATGTCTAGTGAGAACATCCATTGATTAAAGCATAAAAGAACACAAAAACAAAAGTAGACCCCAAACTTTAAAATTCCAAAATTGGAAAAAGCTTGTTTTGTGATGCTAATATGTTTTATATAGTACATGTATATTTTAAACTCAATAAGAAGGTTAGATCACTTACCATACTTGAGAATACCAATTGATAAGACAACATATTAATAATATTGCACCCCTTATGTTTTAAAATTCAAGCACTTAAATATAATAATAAAAACAAACTCCTCTAATGTTGGGTGCTCTAATAAAGTACTATGTGTCCTCTCATGTGGCCCCTCCCCAAGCTTTTTCTCCAACTTCTCTTTTGTTACTCTAATCATCTCTTATGGGGCTTTCAACAACATCTTCATGCTTTTGGCTTAGCCAGAGGGCCTTTTATACCACTCTACTCCCAACATCCCCTGGGTTCAATTTCATCCTTCAACTTCATAGAGGGCTTCTGGGTTCTCCCTAAAACCCTCCCCTTATCTAACATCTCTTTGTGTGTTGGAAATATGAGCTCCTTGCTCTCATGCCCTTACTCTTTTCATCTGCTCACCTCTATGTATGATACCTTCTATATTGGGATTAGGACATGCTTCTTTCCCCACAACCATACTTTCATGCCAGCTCTCCCCCCAAATATACGACTACGATGAACTAGCATACCTCTTCTTCACCCATATCTAATATCAAAATAAATTGAAAAGGCTTATTGTCCACCCATCTTATGTGAAAAATCATAATGAAATGATATTTTTCTCTACTAAGGAGCTCTCTAAGGGAGCTAAGGATGGGTAACGTGTGCTTGCCAGCTAAACCATTCTATGGTACTCTTATTAACGTTGCGAAATGGTTATGATAGCTTAAAGATACTCTAGATCTCTTAAATCTTTCTGAAAGTTTTTTGCATTGAAGTTTTCTTGTGTGGAAGATTTGAGATGAACTAAACTGATGAACAATGATTTTTTAATGGCAAAACTTCTATTTTTAAGAAAAGGAGTGGGGAATTCAAGCATGTAAGGGATGATTTTGTAAATATTTCGTTTTGGATCAAACTTCCTCAATCCTAATCTCTTCTTCTTTTTCTTCTTCTTCTTTTTTGATAAGCTTAATGTTGCTAAGTGGAGGCTAGCATTTGCAATGTCAATGATTTTGTTAACCGCATCACACCATTGCTAGATCAAGTTGACCTAAGTCTCAATGGAATGATTTACTTTGGGAGATTCTTTATGACTTGCGGACTCCTATTTTTTATACATGCTCAACTTTTGTTCATGATAATGACTCTTAACCTCATCAACCTTCTAAGTTTGACAAAACTAAAAAATGAACATAAAGCAATAAGACATAGTAGAAGTAGAAATTGTAGGAAACGACAGGGTATTTCATCATCTATCTCCATTCCAACATCTATCTCAACTCTGTCACAGACTACATTTGATCCTATCTCTAACTCCTCTCTTCCCACATCCTCCTAATAATATCTTTAATCATCATGTTCTATTACCACCACCAAATCATTCACTCAATAACTCTACCCCCCACCCCTCAACACATTAAATATTAGCAAAATCCCTCCAATTGAGCATTTTAGAAACCAAAACGTCTAGAGACAAATGGCTTGATCCTCTTTTCATGAAATGATACAAATTTTTTATCAATGAAAACCACTGTCACGTTTTTAATTTTGAAAAGGGCAGGATTTGGTTAAAATGGAATAGGTCCAAGCTAACCTTTAATCCTATTTGTCTTCATTCAAACTTGATTCCTTGATTTTTTCACTCTTCTCCAACTCCAAGGAATTCCTCTTTTATATATATACATATATAATTGTGCAACCAATAATGCCACGGTTAGAAAGTACATGCGGAATCACTTGTTTGAAGCCTCTCCTTCATCTACAATTCCTTGGATTATGTTTGGTGATTTTTAACTATATTAAATATTTCGATGAGAAATGAGGGGGAGTCTCTTTTTCCCTCTAAGCTAATGAACTTCAATCATTATATTGAAAGTGGGGGTCTTATGGATCCACCAAGTCTTGGTTAGTCTTAAACCTAGTTTAACTATCAAACTAATAATCCTAATTGATGAAAGTTGTACAGAGCTCTTGTCAATGCTTATTCGATTGGATATCTTTCAATATTCTTTCTACATAACCCACTCCACCCTTTCATCTATTCATTCCTCATTATCATTCACTCTGACCACGTTCATCCACAAAAGTATAAATTTCTCTTCAAAAAATTTTGGAAACTTAATGAGAACTTTTTGGTTATTGTTAATAATGCAGTGAATATTTTATTAAAGATAAGCTTATCATTAATTTGTGGAGCTTAAAAAAATGAAAATTGCTCTCAAACAAGCCAACTAGAATAATGCCTCCAATTGGGCTTCCAACTTGATTAGGGACAAGTTGAAATAAATTTTCCCTTCTTTATAGTAATCCACTTAAATCTTCTCTCCTTAATTATGCTAAAATATTCAATAGGATCTTTTGAATGACCTAAAAATAGGAACTCAATTGGGCAGCTCAAAGTGCCAAATTCAATTGGTTAACTAAGAGTGAGGATGACCAGAGTATTAAAGCCAGGATAAATCTTAATTTGATCAAAAAATAAAGATACATGGAGATACTCTTTCCAATCCTCAAGTTAATGCTAATGAGGTCATAAATCACTTTAATTTCATCTATAACAACAAATCACTTTGATCGCCCTAGTGGATTGTTTCCCACTATCGTGCATGTTCCACTCTCCCTTTTATAGGAGCAAAACATTCTCACCGGCCCCTTCTTTTAATTTAAAAATTAAAGAAGTTTCTTTCGTTATTAAAGTGAATAAAACTTCGGGTTCTAATGACCTTAATTTTAAATTCTTTATAGCAACTAAGAATATTTTTAAGAGATACTTCATTCAGGTTGTGCAGTTCTTCTTTGCCTCTTCGTCCCTTCCAAACTTTAAGAAATACAAAAAACACATTATTATTACTTTAGTTCCAAAAAAAAATTATTCTAATTCTCAATCTGACTTTAAGCTTATTTCATTATATGAGACCTTACATAAAATTATTATTAAGCTTCTTGTTGATTGACTTAGATATGTTATTCCCCAAATCATTCATTGCTCGGGAGACTTTTATTAAAGATAGAGATATCATTAAAAACATTATCCTTATTACTGATATGCTTGGTTTCAAAAATTTCTCCACTAAGAAGCTTTCATGTGAAAGTGTACATACACAAGGCCGTTGATTATAAAGATTGATTCAGTAAAGGTATTCTTTACAGTTTCTTAGATGGATTAAGGTTTGGATCTCTAAGATACCTTTCTCTATTATTCTTAATGGTGGAATGTTGAGCTATTTCCACTATTCTAAAGATGTATAACGCAAGGTAGCCTCCAATAATCTCACCTCTCTTTACCTTTGTTATGGACTGCCTTTTTTGTTATATGGATGAAAAATGCTCTTTTAGAAAGTTTGAGCCTACTTCTTAGGTTTGATGCTTCTTAGTCACTTAATCTATGATGATGATGATATTCTATTATTAGGATATACCAACGCAAGCAGCTTAAATGCCCTTAGTTCTAGTTTATCTTTGATCAGTAATCTTGTGGATCTAAAGTCAAGCTCAATAAATCTAAGATATATTTTGTTAAATTTGTAGCTAACCCAAGCAGCTTGTGGGATATTATTGATATAAAAGTGGGCTCACTCCTAATATCTACTTTGTCACCCTTTATTGGACTAGAAATGTAATTTGATTATTGGAAGCATAAGTTGAATTTTTAGGGGAGACTAAAACTCATTGATTCCACTATCAATATTTATCTATATTAGTTTAATTCAACTTTTCCTAAAGTTGTTATCAAGAAGATTTCTAGGCACATTTTCATATTTCTTTTATTATAACAAGGAAATCATATTCTGTGTTAGGATAAATGTGCTAGGCCAAAGAAAAAGGTGGCTCATTTCTAGTTGCTTTAATCATGTGCTAAAATGAAGTTTGTTTTGCATTTTCTTGGTTACTTTTCCATACTTTCCAAATGGTTGCAAGAGAACTATGGTTCAATTTTGGTACCTAATAAAGCCTCTTCCCCTTGCCCCTTCTAGAAGGGGCTGTAACACATACAAATTAATGAGGATTTGAATAAATGTTAAGGAAAAAAGGTGTGATTGTCTTTCTCTATTTTTTGACTCCCCGGCAGTGAAAGTCAATCTATGCTTGAATGATTGGGACCCATAATTTTTTTAAACTTTGCTGCTAGGAAAAAAGTCAAATTCTATGATTTTCTAATCCTTAAATGGACCACTCAAGTTTGGCATAAAAAGCACTCTCTAAGATATTTTATTTTAACATGAAATGCTTTCATTAATGGGTTCAAAACGACTAAAAATTGGCTCAAATGGGACAACACCTAGAATATGGATGTTTTCTAATGTAGTTTGAGAGATGAAACAAATTTTCATCTTTTTTTTTTTTAGTGTCACTACTCAAATTGGACAGTTAAATGCAACCTACCAAGAGGAAAGTTTTTCACCATGAACTATTAATTTTCAAATTCAAGATTTTGTTATAATACCCTGCAACATTCCTAATACAAGCATGTCTTTCTTCTTTTGTGGGCTGTTAGTTGCTCATATTTGAAAATAATGTAATAGAAAGCTACATAATCTGCCCCACTCCACACAACAAATGCTTCTCCCCAGAATCATTTTTCAATCTAGGGTCAAACTTTGCAATTGAAAAAATGTGGAAATGTTGCCTCAAGATATCAAAGAGCACTGCAATCTAATAGAAAGCTACATAATCTACCCCACTCCACACCAGAAATGCTTCTCCCCAAAATTATTTTCAATCTAGGGCCAAACTTTGCAATTGAAAAAATGTAGAAAAGTGGACTCAAGCAATCAAAGAGACCTACAATCTAAATTAAACTCGGATGATGTAATTTTCTCTGCTTTTTTGCTTTCCTCTTGATCTTGGGTTATGTTTGTTGGTTTTTTAGCATGATTGTTATTCTAAGCCACTACTATATTTCTTGGGTGTTACTCGTAGTTTTTCTGATTTCATGTTTCTCTGGTATTTTGCAATTTGGATATATTTTGTTCTCTATTGTTGGAAACATTCTTATATCTTCTGGAGAAAGCCTTTATATTTCTAAAGGTGTTTTTAATTTCCTCTCCTCTTATGTGTTATGCTTTCTTTGGTCACTTTATGTGATTTTGCAACTTCTTTTTTGTGCCTTTTTGTTGGCTGCAAGAAAATCCTAGCGGCTGGACAGGGCCGATTTACAATTCAAATGCTGTAATTTGATGAACCCATCCCAAATATTCAATTCTAACATTTTTAGATTGGTGTTTATTGTCATATCTGGTGTTTTTTGTTTTAGCTTTTTACTGGCTGGTTTTTGCTAAGCGATGGAGAGAATTGTATGCATGCTTCTAGATAACTCTTTTGTCATCAAAATGTAATACACCTTTATCTTTTCGATATATTGAATAGCATCTCTTAACTTACCCAGAAAAAAGTACTATGATCATTACCCAAAACTTCAATTGTTTGAATGAAATATAATACTGATGTATAAATTTGTCAAATATCAGCAAAGCTACTGATCCCAACTAGTATTGTATAGATGAATGCTGGTTAAATTGAAACTGAGAAAAAAAAAAAAAGTACAGGAAAATACCACAGCACCAGTGTTCATATGACTGATATCAGCAGTGACACCAGGTGTGTTGACAACATCATAAAGATGCAGGACCGATACAAGAGGGTTCATTTTCAACAGCATAGCGAGTGGCTGACCAATACCTCCTGCAGCACCCAATACTGCAACTTTGAACCCTGAAGAACCTCCCTTGGAGCGGCAAGTTGAGCCTGTAAGTAAGTTGACTTCCTCCATCTTCAAGTAAACAAACCACAAATCAATCAAAATTAAAAAGAAAACATGAGTTGCAAATTAGCATTTATTTAATTGTCTGTCATTTTTTATAGAAGCAGCAATGCTTACTACACCGAAGTGACTCAAAACTTCAACTTCGAAAACACCCGAAAAACAATAAAGAATGCTTTCGGTTAAGAAAGCAATTATTGGAATCTATTTCCCCTTAGTCTTCAGTAATCTATCCATCGAATGATAATTCAAGACTAAACAACAGTGAAATCCCAATTCCCCGCTTACCCAATCGGAGAAATAGATGAAACCATGACATCTCCACTGGATTTCAGCAAGATTATCAATTTTTATAAGAACAATCTTCACGGCACAACTTATAAAACAATAAGAAATACAAACATTAAATCGTCAGCAAGAATTCAAATTGAGTGACAGAAGTTCATTGGCATCACAGCCGAAGAACATACAAAGGCCGAAACAGGAAAATAACAGAAGAAATCCCTAATAATCCCCATGAATAATCATAGAACAAACCAAAGAGGGAAATTTTACCATGAGAGAAGAGAGGGGTGTAAAGAGCACCTGCGATGTGGGAGGATTGAGATGGGCCGCGATTCTCGCGATGCGCTGGGAAGCCTCGTAGTTTTGCTGCATCATTACGATGTGGTACAGAGAGGAGCTTATGCTTCCACCTTCTCCAGAGAAAGCGTGGGAGAAGCGAAGGAACCGAGGTCCCAAATCAAAGTAATCTAATGCGAGATAGAGTGGAGATTGTTGACGCCAACAAAACGGATTTTATTGAAAAATCAGAGAAGGGCCAAGGAACGGAGATTGGAAAGCGCGCGTAGATATGCTCGGGAAGGGGACAATCCTATCGGCAGTATCCGCAAAAAAAAAAAAAAAAATCCAAGGAGAAATTATAATTACAGAGTCTCTACTCTCTACGGCAAAAAAAAAAAAATCTATAAATAAAATTTTACTGCTACAGTAACAGTAGGCAATCTATTGAGATTTGAGACTGCGGCAAAAAAAATTCTGTTATTTAGCTAATTTAATTGAGACTGTGGTACTAGGCTATTGTTACATTTTTATAATTTATTTATTTATTTATATACTGCCTGCAATTATATAAATTTAGTTCAAAACTAGGCTGGTCATTATTTTTAAACTAAGCTACTATTATATTTTTATTAAATTTAGTTTATATACAGTCATTAGTAATATTAGGCTATTGTAGCAATAATTTTTTTTTTATAATTTTTTTTACATTATATATTGTAGTAATAAAAATTTGTTGAGTTACCATTGCCTAGTGTTACCTTCTTTTTTTTTTTAACATTTTATACTATAGCAATAAAAATTATTACATAAATTAATTTATTCCTAAAAAAAATTTTGTTACAGTAGCAAGCCGCTTGTTAAACAGACAACTTGCTACAATAACATAATTTTAAATAAAATTCTTATGCTGATTGGACAGTTGACTAGATTAGAAAATCGTCTGTTAAATGAGCAATATTATCTAATTTTAAAATTTTATTTTATAATACTTAATTACATGAATAAGTTTTTAACCATATCCACTTTAAAAATTTACCCCAAGTTTGATTTATCAATACTTATTTCTCTTATTTCAAAAATTTATTTAACTGCCCAAATTCTTTTTTAGGAACCCTTCTCAATCCCTCCGACAATTCTATTTCACTATATTTCATCTCTATTATTTTAGCTCTTATCATGTATGATGAAATTCAAGTAAAGATTTTAAGATATTTAAATTTATTATCTCTAATTTCAATGGGTTCATATTTTTAAAATATCTAAATTTATTATGTCTCATTTAGATTTTAAAATATCTAAATTTATTATTTCTATGACAACATACTTCTTGCAAGTGAAATTTTGGGAGAGTTCAAATTGGCCAAAAGAGACTTTCTTCTGTATTAAATTTGATATATTCAAACTTTTGATACAATATCTAGGGGCTATCTTTTTTTAGCATGGAGTAGAAATGATTTTCAATCATCTTTATTAATTTGATCAAGGCTTGGATTTAAAATATTTCCTATTTTATTTGTATTAATGAGTTTTTTGAAGGGTTCTTTTCCACTTCCTATGGCCTAAGATAGTTTGTCCTTGTTAGGAAGTGTGTCCTAAAATAATATTATTATAATATATTTTACGTTGAAATAAATATTTAAATATAAGTTTAGCATGTGTGTATATTATTATTTGATAAAATATTTTGTTATTATATTTATTCCATGATCATTTATATAATCATAATTCAGTATATAATTATATACAAGATGATTGAATTATGAATAATAATCTAAATAAGTTTATAATTATTATGCATAGTTAAAATCTATAATTAAGTATTATTAATACAACGTATAAACATTAAGAATGAAATGGTTTTATCTGGATTATTCGATATGAAAATATTAATGATAAATGTACTTTATATAATTTGATTATATAGACTGAATCAGATAAAATTTGAATTCTCTAATAAATTCTATTTTAACTAGATGAGTTTTAAAATTAATCATAAAAAGTGATTATATATAAAATATCTTAATCCTAATTTATTAATAAACTCCTTTTTGTGACATTATGTTTCTTGACATATTCGAAAATAGTTTAGAAGATATAAATTCAATCCTCATATATTAGAAATACAATGAAATAAATGATTGAGAATGCTAATATACGTACAGATATAAAATCCATTCATTTCAATTTTGAAAGTTAGAAAATTAGTTCCATTGAATAATTAATTCAGAACATGAACAATTAAGCGTTTAAATTTTATAATAAGATGACAAAGTTTATTATTCATTAGAGAATTAATTTAAATTCAAGGCTAAATATGTAAAAATCCAACATCACTCTATCACCCCTCCTCTTCTATATTGTTATGAATGGACTTCAATGTTTTTTTATATATCCATAATGAATCATTTATATGATGGGATTCAAATTGCCGATTATCACATTTCCCACTTTTATTTGCTAATGATCTTCTAGTATTTGGCAAAACTAACAGTCAAAATAGGAATTCTCTCATTATTATTGTTGCAGATTAGTAGTATTCACGATAGTAGAATGAAATAGTTTTTTTGTATTAGCATTGCATGAACATCCGGCACACAAATATATAGTTGGAGAGAAAGCAGAAAAACTCAAGAAAAATTTACGTGAAAAACCCAAAATTAATGTCTAATAAATTATAGCTTAAACAAATATGTTAGAGCACCATCCACTTTATCAAGCTATATGAATTAAAGAAAATAAAATATATATAAAACTAAAAAATAAAATTTCCTTTATAAAATATAATATAAATGTGCAATAAATGTTCTTTAATGATTTTTTAATGAGAAATTATATCAAATTATTCTGATACAGAATTTTCCCTTCATATTAATAAATTGCCTGCTTTAAACATGCAGCTCTTGTTGTGAAGTTATTGCATGATGACAGCATAAGAAATTTTCTGTAGCATTCTAAGAGAATTAGAGGCCCTGAACCCTCATATTTCTGTTAATAGTTGAATAATTTATTTATTATTATTCTTTTTTTTGTAAGGATGAGAATTGAAAGGTCAAATATAGTGGATGAAATAAAAAAGTTCAGTTATAAACTAAAATTATTAGAGAAATAAAAATAACAGTAAGTGAAGAAGAGCTAGTATGTTACATTTGATATGTATATGGCTGAAGGCAGGAATTCAGAAGAAAATCTATAGAAATCTGAGAAGAAACTTGAGCAGAGGATGTTGGTGAAAATTATAATATATGTGAAACAAATTTCCTAGTTATAGCACTATATGGTGATAAAAAAACAGTAACATTAGAAAAAAGTTGAAATCAACTACAATTCCAGTATTAAAATCGAAGAAATTTCATAATTTTTGCATCAATTTGCTTGAATTTAGAAAATTTAGGATTTGAGGAATTCAAATTCTGATATTTGTTAAGTAAATTTAGGTATAAATGCTAAATTTCTTGTGCAATAATTCATGAAAAATTAGTAGAAGCTTTATCACACTAATGAACCAGATATCTTTGATATCTACTATCGGTAGCAGACAATGCCCTCATTAAGAATAGCTTTTGTAGGAATATGAGTAAATTTGTCATATTTGTATAAGAATTCACAAAGAGCTAGAATGGTAGCATTCACTAGGTAAAGTTAAATCATATGTACTTAAGACTAGACTACTACTATAACTTACCTTCAATATGAGAACCAACAAGAAAGTTGAAGGCTGCAATTGTGAAGATGAAGGCTGGGAGAACGACGACATCGTCAAAACAACGAGAACGCCAAAGGGCCGAAGACTACTACTGCGAAGACGAAGGCTACGAGAACGGCGACCTCTTCAACGCCGAAGGCTGCGGCTGCGAAGACTTGATTCGCGAACGCTGAAGGCTGCGAGCTGCGCAACGCGAAGCGGTTTGGATGGGCAGGCACGCACGGGATTGGTCATATTATGGCAAAAATTATTTTTGAGGGGGCAAAATTCCAAAACTATATTACAGGATTATCTCAAATTTCAGTCCTAACCCAACCCTAGGAAAATCAACTATTTAATGCATACAAATCAAAAGGGATTCCCTAAACCCTAAACAGTCCCTACATTCAATTTCCCTCCTAAAAACCATTAAAAAATCTTCCTATTCGGCCTTGTTTGGGAGAGATTGATCCTTCTCTCGAATAGAGGATCAATTGTATCTTGCTATTTTATTCATTGTTTAGTGGAATACAAGTCTTGCTTTGAGTTTTCTTTCAGTTTTCCTCTTAAAATCTGCTGTCTTACTGCTGTAAACTGCAGTTTTTCTGTGTTTTCCTGCTGTGGACAGCAGTCCAGTCACTGTTCTCGCTGTTTTTCCAGGAGACTGATAGGACATACTCGCGATCTACCAGTGTTTTCTATCAGAATCATAATTGCTCATATAAGAAGGCAAGCTAGCAGAAAATTAATGGGAAGCCAACTTGAAAAGCAGACCTTGGCTTGCCATAGTAATGAAACCAAGCCCCAGTTAATAGCCTCAAAGAGTATTTATCATGAAAAGCAGTTGAAGTCGAAGCCCTGGCCAACTCAAAATCCAACCACAAAAAAAATGAACTCCAAATTTATGTATTTTTTGGCTGCAAACTTCGTGTATATGCTTTTATGAAGAGTTCGTTAAATCTTGCTATGTATTTCTATATTAGTGTGGATCAAATGTAGCCTTTTTTACGCGTTGAACCTCAATCGAAGCCTATAAATAGCGGATGATAGGATGAGCCTAATACAAGAGATCACTTAAACTTGTACCTCTTGGAATCTAGTGAAATTCTAGAGCTTCTCTCTCTGAATTATTTTTTTCTTTCTAATCTTTTACTTAGTTGTGCATAATTATTAGTAAGATTTTGGGGTTGCTCACCGATAGATTTAAATCCAACATGTCCATTGGACTATGATCATGTTTCCTCAATCTAATAATTGTATGAACCATCAGGAAAGTTGATTTTAGATAAATGGCAAACTGGCTAGAATTTCTCATATTGCATATCATTCCTTTCACATTAAAAATAGACTATCAAGGTATCATGATTAAAATTACTGTTGAAGGCAATATATAGATAATTAATATTACACTTATTTTAAAGAATATCTAAGAGCTTTAGATCCATCTTAATCAGTTTTTAAATAGAATATCTTGATAAAGGAAGAATTTTCCCTTCTCGTTTGCTTCAGATTCCATCTTTTTGCTTTAGTCATGGATGTTCTCACTAGACATTTGCAAGAGGATGTACTTTGGTGTATGATTTTTTTCTGATGATATTCTTATTATTGATAAGACTAGAGAGGGAGTTTAAGGTAAACTTAAATTAAGGAGGAAAACCTTAGAGTCTTAAGGTTTTCGTTTGAGTAGATCTAAAAATGAATATATGGGGTGTAATTTTAGTAGCAATAGACCTACTGAGGGGATTATGACTTTGGGTGATCAAGTCATTAATAAGAGTACACGTTTTAGATATCTTGAATCTATTGTTCAAAGTGATGGTGAAATTGATGGGGATATTATCAGCAGAATTCAAGTTGGATGGTTGAAGTGGATGAATGCATCGGGCTTGTTGTGCGATAAAAAAGTCCCCCTCAAACGTAAGGGAATATTCTATAAGATAGTGGAGAGACTTGCAATGCTTTATAGTGCTGAATGTTGGCCATTAAAAGATAAACATAATACTAAGTTAAGTGTTGCAGAGGTGAGGATGCATGGGTGGATGAGTGGCTTTACCCATAGAGATAGGATACAAAATGAGAATATACCTGAAAAGGTTGGAGTAGCTCCAGTGGAAGATATGATTAGAGAGAGTCGCCTTAATGGTTTGTTCACATTAAACGGAGGTCTTTCAATGATCAGGTTAGGAAAGTTGAGGTATTAGATTTGACTTGTGTTAAAAAAGGTAGAGGTAGACCTAAAAAGATTTGGTTAGAAAATATTAGAAAAGATCTTTCTTTATTAGATTTATATGATAATTTAACTTTTAACAGTACACAATGATGAAAAAGGATTCATATAGCCGACCCCATGTAGTGGACAAAAACTTGATGTTGTTGTTGTGGTTCATTTTCAGATTCCATGTCATAATCAGACAGAGTCAAATAGGAAGAGAATCAGAAGGAACTAATAAACTATTGAGGAGCAACTCAAAGCTTTTTCATCAAATCAAGTGCAGTGATAATGATCTTTCGGTACACAAATAGCATAAGAACAAGAAACTAGAAGTTCTAAGGTTAGCATGCAACCACAATGAAAGAAAACAAAAATGATAAACATCATATAGTCAGCATCCTAAAGAAATGTTAGCGTCAAAGCTGTGCAGCTTGAAGTTGCGGTCATGAGGAGGAAACTCGATTCCTGATCCTACTCGATCGCCTTACTGGAGTCATAACTTTCTCCTGTTTGTTGCTCTGAAACAAAATTAAAAGAACTTGAGATCATTAATATCTTTAGCTTTGAGTTTCTAACCATTAGGAAATTTACATAATCAAGCAACTTACATTTCTATAGCATCTCTCAAAAGAAGTGAAACTTCCATATGAGATGGAAGAAGATACTCCAGAATCTCTCCTCTGCATAATTTCATGGTCAGGAGTCACATCATGACTTTCTACATTGCTTCTCTGCTTGCTAAAAAACAAGCTATTGTTCAAGCTGTAACTCGTTTCTGTAGGACCAGAATCACACACCATCTCTGCCAGGCCCCCTCGGTTACAATAATAATCTCCATAAGCATGTCTGTAGCTCTTTGTTCCGCCAGAAACTGATCCCGTTTTCTTCTTTTGGAATTTTTCATCAGAAGTAGTCTTCTTTTGCTTTTTAATGAGAGAGATCAATTTGGTAGCAAGTGCCACAGAAGCAAACATTCCTAATACTACAAGCATCAGCAACTTGGTGTCGGAAAAAACAAGAGGAACAGCATCATGAAAGTCCTTTTCGTTTGTTATTTGAGTCTCATCTACAGGATAGGCAGAGGAGTTGATGTCCTCTTTGTTAAACGAGTGAATCAAATCATTTCCCAACTCTTTTAAAACTTTTTCTTCAAGCCTCTCTGCTATGCCAACCTCATCAGATATGGCAATCTCAATCTTTTCAAGTTGATCGCTTTTGTTCATGGTTCCAAATTGAACTGCGGGATCAAAAAAGGAATTATGTCGTTGAAATTTGGGATTATTTTCCTCTTCCATCTTCCACTCCACCAACTCCGTACTATCTCCATTTACAGCTCCAGCCAACTCAACTTTAAGCGTCTCAGCAACATCTTCTTCATTACACGGCAAAGCCTCACCATCAGTCTTAGGAATTTCAAACTTCATTTCCATGTTATCCACAACATCATTTTGTCTATTAATTATATTCTCCTTCTGAGCAAGTTCCAATTCAGAGCTGCTGCAAAAATCCAAACCTGTTCCCTGATCCATTGATGATGCGAGAGTCGTGTTAAAGTAATGAGACATGTCTAGTTCTTCTTTTGAGAAAAAAACAGAAGATACCAGAATTTCAATAGAATTTATTGACCATTGTCTCATCCTTATAACCAATCCTTGAAGATTCCAACGGGCAGCATCTAGATAATCATAGAATTGGATATGCTGAAGGACTCTTAAAGGCATGGTGAGAGGGACAGCTAAAGACTGATCTTTTATATTGAAAGGATAAAGGATTGGGGAATCGGTAAAAGGAACAGAAAACAACAAAACACTCAAGACTAAGGCAACTGGTATTATTAGTTTAGACCTTCCGAACGACCATGTTTTTGGCTTGTAAGGTTCCGGTAAAGACCTAGATTCAGAAACATGATTTTCATCAGGAACTTGAGCTTGTTGTGTCTTCATCAAATTGTCAAACTCAGATTCTTTTATAGGTGAAGACTGCGCGGTGTATCCACTACTATCGTCAGAACTCTCAGAGTCAAAGAAGCTATCTTCTAGCCGCCTGCCCTCCCCCACATAAAGCAAATCTTCTATGAAGTCTTGATGTTGATTAATCCTAGTGTTTGGCTTATAATGAAGGAAGCGGGGCCTTGGTGAAAGGTAATTTTTCATTGGATCATAAGGAGGAAGAGATGGATCATGATCGAAATCACCAGCATCGACAGAACGAGTGGCTTCTGATTGGTGATGGCCCTTGGAAATATCAAAATCCAATTTTCTTGTACCACTTCGACTCGAGATTTCCTCAGAATCAAAGCCAATTTCAGGTTTTTGCCTAATCTTCTTCCCTTCCACTCCTTCGAATGAAACAATGTTGTTTTTCATATTGTCCCGAAACACCTAAATGTAAAAGAGAAATTTCAGATTCCATCCAAAAAATTCCTCCATCTTTAAAAGAGAATAGAGCAATAAAAACGCCTTACCTGGTTTCTCTCTTCAAGAATCTTCTTCTTTGGCGATGCTGCAGTGATCTTAGAAGATGCAGAGATCGTTGGAGCCATAAAACTCCTCGTACGCTTAGAAGGATTAACGGCTGGTGACCTCGTTTTTGCTGGTTTATCTCTCTGATTCTCCTGCTCAAAGGAAGAACGTAGAGATGGTCGTGCGCTTGTGGGTTTGGAGCCGGAGTTCCTTTGAGGAATTTCTAAAAGAAGTTCAAAACATCAAAGAAACTATAGATAAGAGGGGAAGGAGTTCATAAAACCCTAACGAAACCCATCTAAGGAAAGAACTCCGGTTACCTGAGCCGCTGCAGGATTTGGAGAGATCGAAGTTGCTGCTTTTGCGAAGGGTATTAAGCTTAGGGTTTGAGGGTCTGGATGAATTGGAGGAAGGAGATCTTGCGGCCACCATGCTTTACTGAATCGTTGAGTGTTTGGGGAATTAGAGAAAGAATGCTCAGAGTATATGGAAATTTTAAGCTTTTAGGAAATGGAGAAGGAGATCTCAGCAATAAAAGAAACCGGGATTTTTGTGATTTTAAAAAATAACGGCTACTTCTCTTCCCCTTTTCAATTTGTTATGCTTTAGCTTTCGAAGAATTGGCCGTTAGAGGGGGCAGGTGAATTCGTTATGGCTGATCATTTGAATTTGGATTTATTGAAAAATATTCAAACAATTAAGAACCGGATTTGATCAATTAAGAGGCTTAAATGCATAAATATAGATCATTATATGAAGAATCTGTTAATTGATAGTATAAACTCCCACAAAAATAGAAGATGGACCAGTAAATTTTTGTAGTAATTATTTTTAAAGGACATTTTCCCTCATATTTTAGTGGTAGGTCACAATTCTCCAATCTATTTAATTTATATTTATATTCAAACAATCAATATGGTCAACAGCATAACATAGTATATTAAGTCATCATGAGAACAAAATAGTATTTTAGAAATCTTCTAGCAATCAGTTTGGGACAACAATAATGTTTTGTAAAGACGGTTGTGAAATTGTTGTGAAAAAAATAATTTATTTTTTAAGTTGTTGTAGATATCATAAATATAATTTTTTTAAAAAAATTGAACATCAGCTTTTTTAAAGCTACCACACATTAACAATTCTGATTGTAAAATACAATTTTCCCCACAAAAATTCATTTTAAACTATGAGAAATTATTAGTCAAACAGTACTATACTTGTGATTTGAAAAATACAATAGTGAAAAAGCTGTCACAAATATTCCCTAAGTCTCACTCAATTTTTTAATTTTTTTATGAGAGATCAATATATTTTAAGAAAAAAAAACTATTCATACTATTTTGATCAAAGTTCAATTATAATGAATTTCAATATTATGAAATTCATTTTTAGACTAGTGCAACATAAATTTTAATTGATTAATCATATATTGTATTCATATAAAAATAAATTATTTTGAGACTTATCATAACTCAATCTTAATCTTATCTAAAATCCATAATTCTTCATGAGTGTCTGCTCTGATATGATAAAAACTGACATTGGGAATCTTTGAAGAAGAAGAAGTTAACAACTCATAGAGAGTAAAGAACAATAAAAACTGTAATTCCGAAAATATGAAGTTAACAACATATAGATACCAACTGATGTATGCAATTAACAACTCATTTTTTGAAATTTCGGACTTAATTTTTATATTTTAAAGCCGAATAAAGCCTCTACAGTCAGTATTAAGCTGTTTTATAAGTTTTGGAGCGAAATTTTTTAGCATCTTTTGCTCTGATCGCTATGCTAACTTCATGAAATGTTAAAATTATAATCATGGATATTTTACTTGGTTTACGATCCAGAGGGGAGATCTACATTGACTTTCAGAGAGCTATCGCAGCTCGTTATTATCTAAAAATTATGATTTGACATTGTCTTTGTGAAAGACTCAAATACATATTTTCGAACTTTGCAAGTTTGGACATTCAAAAATATGGGGCAATTAATACGTCACTGAAAATTGCCTTGATCGGGCACAAATCTCGAAGCATATACAAGTTGGCAACTTCCAAAATTAAATACAGGACCATCTAAACACCTATTTTGGCAAACGTACAGTCAAATTGAACCTATCAAGGAGATAAATCCAACAACACCCAAATCGATCTAATCCTAGTCCAAACGGGTCCAAATCAAGGGACTGGAGCATATTTCAAATATTCAAAGTATTAATTGGACAAAAAATGATATCTAAATATGACATGCTTATAGTCAAATCTAGCGGCTCGATAAGACAAAACCCAACGAGTCCAAGTTTGCTTCATTATGACATCATTAAAGCACTTAAATGCTTATCAAATACTTTTTAATCAAGGAAATCCATATGAGTCGTCCAATGGAACACATTGAATTTGCCTTAGATATTTTTCATATTTATAGAGCATGTTACTCACAAAATCTATAAATAAATGCTCACTCTCTACATGAAAGGGATCTTTGGGGGAGCTAAGACCTTTAGAGGCTTATACCATATGCTAGAAACTCAAGAGAACTCTCGGGCTTGAAGCATCCCTGAGCTCCACTCCAGCACCACCACCGGTGAACCCTCGCCACCAAGGTGCCATTATTGGATCTCTATCCTACTATCACAGTTGTACCTATATTCGACAGCCATTGCTAGGCATTCATCTAACCTCTGTAGCCTGCTAACTATGGTCCCTTCGACCACCATTGCCAGCCAACTAAAATCCCTTCGACCTTCGTAGCTCGTTGACTGCGGTCCCTCCAACCTTCACCGCTGACCAACTATGGTCCCTCCGACCTCCATTGCTAGCAGACTACGGTCCCTCCAACCTTTATCGCCCATCAATTATGGTCTCTTCGACCACCGTCGCCACTGACTATGGTCCCTCTTACCTCCGTCGCTTGCTCTTATCTGTGTGTGTGTTGGACCTATGTGCAAAGCTATGATGCTAAGCTTTTTTATCTCTGCTCGAATGCTCCAAGATACAACATTATTATAATTATTAGTTTCAGATGTAATAAGGATCGACATTCGAAAATAGGGTGGGGAAATGATACGTTTACAAAAATATCAATATGATAAGCACGAATCTCAATAAAAATATTTGAATTGAAAACATTCAAAATTAAATTTAAGATTATATAATCTCTAATTTCAGCAAAGTTATAATAGAACTAAGTATCTCAATGAAACGAATGCAACAACATTAAAAATGGTCCAATTCGAGCCTAAATAAGTAAAAAAATCAAGCTCTTAAAGTATTATTAAAAATTTCATGCATTATTTGGAAGGTCAAATGATCTCAAAAATTGACATGCTTAAAGTCGAATTGAGCAGCAAATGATCAAATGGCCCATCCAAAAAAAACCTATAAATTGAGTCCCATTATCAACATTGGCACTGGGGGGGAGGGGGTGTGTTAAGAATAGAGAGAACTAGAAAGCTCTCTTGCAATTTTTACCTATCACCACCAACAATCATCGCAACTATCTACAGACCCCTCTCAAGATTTAACCCTATTATTGGGTAGTGGGTACTATTTGTTTTCTTTTGGACTTCTAACTTTTGTAATCCCTATAAGAAAAATTAAGCTCTATCGTTGTACGTTAATTGTCCATATATAGATACATGCTTTCTGTAATCCCTATGGAGAATTCAAACATTTGTACTCACTTCGTTCTTTCAACTTTTTTAAGAGAAGATTTTTATTTCACTTACTATAAAGTGAATTTTCTAACTATGTCATACCCTGTTATTTTTTTTGCTTTTTTTTAGTTTCGCACATAAAAATTTTCTAGGCTACAATATTTATCTGTGTTGGAACTAGGAGGAAGATCTTGCGAGCTCATCTTGAGCTCTTCTTGCAAGAGAGAGAGAGAGAGGGAGAGGGAGGAGAGGGAATACACAAAGATTTGGAGGAAATAAAACTAAGCTTATTCATATTTTTTCCCTAAATCAATACAACTTACAATGTCTCTATTTATAGAGATTTACGAGGGTGTGGTAGCATGCATGAACGACATAACCTAAAACTAAATCAATACATAACACTATGCATGCTGAATTTTTTGTATAACACTAAGATGTAACGACATATTCTATAACTCAAAATTTCTAACATGTAATAATTAGTATTAATTATTTAATTAATTATCTTTTATTATTATTTCTCTTGCTCTTAAAGAGAGCCCACTCATTCTCGTGACAAAATTCAATTCCAATATTCTAAAACTCCAAATATAGCAATGCAATTCTCCCACCTTAATAGTTTCCCACTGCTCCCAACCACACCTTATTACTCATTAAAAATACAGCTAACTTATCTCTATCATTTTATTACCTTCGATTGTTTTTTTTTTTTCTCCTTTTTTGTGACGAAAATCATGTGGCGTGTTAAGCATGAGCCTCCATATTCGTAATTAACACAAGCATCTAATCTTCACAAGCTCATCATGCTTTGAGGATGATTTAAAACTAATTAATCTATTATTAATTTTAATTGTGTGTTATAAATTCAAAGATTAGCCTCAAAACAGATAAAACTTTATAAGAATCAGATACTGAAAGTTTATTTCTTTGGCTATATGGTTGAAAATTTTTTATCAAACTAAAAAAATTTCTGTATATTCAAATATGGCAACAGCCTGATCAAGATCACTAAGCCTTCAGGTGAGGGACCTTTTATTATGTACGGATATCGGAGGGGAGAACCGTTCGGTTAAGCACTGGGTACCTAGCGGTATCTAGGGGTATCAAGCTGGGTACCTAGTAATGGGTGACGTGGCACATTTTTATTGGTCTCCCGCCGCCCTCCACACTTCCACAAAATAATAAATCGAGGTGAGGTAGGTTTGTTGCGTGTTAGAAAATACGCGGCGGTAGTACGGATATCGGAGGGGAGAACCGTTCGGTTAAGCACTGGGTACCTAGCGGTATCTAGGGGTATCAAGCTGGGTACCTAGTAATGGGTGACGTGGCACATTTTTATTGGTCTCCCGCCGCCCTCCACACTTCCACAAAATAATAAATCGAGGTGAGGTAGGTTAAAAGTGCACTATTCGAAGGCCAAGGTGCACTCGTCAAGAGTCAAGGGTTTACGTGTCAATTTTCCATATATATTTTTATACTTTTGGCTACATAAGAAGTTATATGTCTTTCATAAATGAGTATGTTATGTATATAATTTTTCGATAGCCCCATAACCCTATAAATAAAAGATCATAGGGCAATTAAAAAAAGACTAATTAAGGCTGCATTTAGGATGACTTTCTTACTGTTTTTTTTTTTTTTTTTTTTTTTTAACGGGGTATCCACCTGCTGCCACCCCTGAAAGGACGCTTGGCGGTGTGACTAATCCTCGACTGACCTAGAAGAGCCAGAAACCTCCTTGCCCGCACTTGATTGGGTCCCACTTAAGAGGCATTGCCGCTCGAGGTGAATCGAGCAAGGGTTGGGAGGGCTCCCAACTGTACTCTCTCACCAATCAAGCTAAGCTACTTTCAGAAGTAATAAGAAAGCCATCTTAAATGAAGCCTAAGAATACTAAGAATATCTTTCTCTTTCTCACTCTTCATCAAATTTTTTTCTTTTTCCTTTCCGTCTATACGCAGTGAATTAGCTTTGTAAGTCTTTGAAATAAATCATCCACGAACAAATTTGAATTCAATAATTTCTCTATAGTGAACACATCTATGCTTATAATGTAAGGATGATTAAAAAATAGAACCAAAATTTAATTGTAAAAAGTGATTTACAAGTAAGAATTAGTGCGGTGAAAAGTTGAAATAGACAGCGCTAATAATAATAATATTTTTGTGGATCAAAGATCAAGTATTGTTACGTTATCAATCTATTTCTTTTGCTAATCAGTTTCTTGAAGAAAATCTCTTCAACTATAATTAAAAAACCAGGGATGTTAACACAAGAGTTTTAGTATAAACATTTCGTGATTGCATATATAATATATGTGAACATATATACGTAATCACAAATGGACTGAATTAAAAAAAATTTAGAATTAAATTTAGAGTCATCCGAACTTTAATTTCAACAAATTTATAATAATGTCTCGATGAGATGAACTCAACGGTATTAAAAGTGATCCGATATGAATCCGAATCAGTTTAGATCAAGCACTTGAAGCACAATATGAATGTTCGACGTATTAATTGAAGGATCAAATGATCTCAAAATATGACATGTTTATAGTCAAATCTAGCGTCTCTAATTGACTAATATCTTTAAATTTCATTTTTTGTATAATATAATAATTTAGAAGTTTATACTATACAATATTTATATTATTATTTTATTCATCTGTCTTATAATATGCTATAAAAAAAATTACATAAGCTTAAAAAGATCTATTGGGCCTAAATAAATTGTGCTTATGAGCTGTGAAGCATTGTGCCACTCAAATTAAGGCTTTGTTTGGGACAACTTTTTCACCGTTTCTTAAAGCAGTTTTTAGTATAAAAATTAAAAAATTTGTACTAAAAATTGCTTTAAGAAGCAATAAGAAAGATTTTCCAAACAAAGCCTATGTTTTTGCAACAGTTAGATTCATATCCTGAACTGATTTATCATATCAAACATTTGCTCTATTTGGGATAGCTCTCTGCTGCTTTACTTTTCAGTCAATAATCACAATTTTATTTGATTGTGGTTTTCTTAGTATTTTTCAAAAAAATTATGATAAAACTTGATTTTTGTAACCAGAATAATAAAATTATTTCCTCTTATAACAGTTTCATTTCTAACTTTATAATATGATACAGCCATCCCAAGCAGACCTATAATTTTAGGTTTTGTTTGGCTATTTCTTTTGTGGTAAAAAATAATAATTAGAAAAAATAATATGTATTTGAAATATAGCTTTTTATTGTTATTTCAAAACTTTTGTTTTAATTTAAAATTTTATTTTTGAAAAATTATTTTTGAAATTGTGACTGAAAAAGAAATTTTTAACATGAAAAACTTCTCCAAATAAAACCTTAATTAGCAACTTAGAATGGAAAGGAAAAAGCATACAATTTGGTTCCAAGTGATTAAAATGCTGTTTTAATAACTCCATTTAATACTACTTAATTGAAATCTTATATTCATCTCCACAGTCCCATTCTTCAACTAATCCTTAATCTCACTACCGTAAAGCATATATTTGTTTTGTTGCTTCAAGTTTTAAACTACAAATAAAGAGTGTTTTAGTGCCCAAAAAGACGGAAATTCTTCCATTGAGTACAAGTTTTTCAAGTCCAATAACTAAGCTTAAGCAATCTGCAACCCCAAGCAAAGCTTCTTATCTAACCATCACAGTCCATTTACAAAAGCTATAAAGTCATATGGTTTCAATGATAAACTAAGACATAAGAAATCTTCATTCTCTCTCATTCAAACAGCATTTTCTTTGGCTTGCAATCCTGGTTAAGCTTTCGGTAGTTGGTGCCCTTCAGTTTTTTCTTTTTCACCTCCTCTTGAAGTCACTTGAGAGGAGGATGGAGACTGGAAACCTTAGAAGTGTATATAGAGGTAATGAGTTTCTGCTTTCTGTCAGAGGAGTTGCAGTCTAGATCAAGTTAGAAATATCCCAGTTTGAGGCAAGTTTCTTCTCTCTAGAACTCAAATGTTCAGCTGGTTATGACTTCGTTTGGGATGCTTTCTTTCTGCTTCTTAAAACAGTTTTTAAGTCAAAAGCTGCTTTAAAAAGCATAAAGAAGGTCATCTCAAATGAAGCCTGTGTTTCCATTACTATTAATGATATTGCTTATTTATTTAGTTAAGGAAGCTGGACATTCTACTACAGTGAGGCAGCTGGAACATGGCTTTTTCTGAGGTATTTGTTCTATTATTAACCAAATTCTGCTTCAATTTATAATGTTTGGATCAATGGTTTAGGATACTGTGTTGTTAAGGGCTTTTGGCCAATTAAATTTTGTTGTATTTTTTAATACAAGTATTTTTAAAATAAATAAAAAATGTATTTCAAAATGAACATTTTTAAATTTTTTTTAAAAACAACTTAATACTACTGAGCAGGAAGTAGAAAATAACCACAGATGATTAGAATCCAAATTAAACAGACAAAATTTGAATATTTCACTCCCTTCACAACTCTTTTCATAGTTACTGAAAAGTAGAAACTTTGCTCTTCTACTTCCTAAGGAGATTATCAAAACGCAAGTTGCTGAAGAAGATCAAAACATAATACTCAACCCTGAATTTGAGGATGGCCTGAATAACTGGTCTGCAAGAGGATGTAAGATTCTTCTACAAGACTCCATTGAAGATGGAAAGGTGCTTCCTCTCAGTGGAAAGTTCTTTGCTTCTGCAACTGAACGCACACAGAACTGGAACGGGATTCAGCAAGAGATAACTGGCAGAGTGACGAGGAAGCTGGCCTACGAAGTCACTGCCATTGTCAGGTTATTTGGTAGTTCTAGTCCATTTGATGTGCGAGCCACAGTTTGGGTTCAAACACAGATTGGAAGGGAACAGTACATTGGGATAGCTACGTAAGTATTCTTATTTGGTTTCCAAGTTCTTTCACTCTTTAGGAAGTTTTCAATAAAGGAAATTTGCTTATTAGCTTTGCTTGCAAAGTCTTACGCTTCATTTTGGAAGGCTTTCTCACTGCTTCTTAAAGCAGCTTTTTAAAAAATTTATGATAGAAAGCTATTTTAAGGAGCAGTAAGAAAGCCATCTCAAACGAAGCCTTAGGCCATATAAGAAGTGATGCAGGCTTTTATTTGGAAGAACTTTTGATTATAATTTTTAAGCTGTTTTTAAAATATTTTTTACTAAAAAACTACTGTAGAAAAAATAAAAAAACTGTTCAAAATAAATTTTTTTTATTATAAGTAAATATTGCTTAATGATTATAAGTTCTTTTCATTCTTGATAGTTGGGGTCTAAATTCTCTATAGTTTGGCAGATAACCAAATATATCATCAGTCATTATGTTCTGAATGGATGGGCGGGATTGATTGCTTTTTTTTTTTCCTTTTTTTTTTTTTTTTTTCCTTTTTTTTTTTTTTTCTGATAGGATGTTTAAGAATGAAACGAACAAAAACTGCTCGATTCAATCACAATCATCCAATTAAGAATAGATGGCTGTGATCGGATAGTTATCTCCTACAATAGAGAATTTGAACCTTAGATAGTGAAATTAAAGGTTGCCCCTTAATGTAAAATAAGAGCTTTCACTAATGTACTAAGTAACACCTAAAATTTTAAATTAAACAAAAAAATATCATTAATATTAATTATTTTAAATTGAAATAAATATATTTTTATACATATGTTCTAATGTGGTTGAGACTCGTAAATTTATGTATGCAAATATCATAGTTTAAATAATTGATATGTAAATACATAAGAATTGTGGGTTAGGTATGTAATCACGATCTCCCATTATTACACTCAAGTGTGCAACCAATTAGAACAAAAAATAGTGTAAAAAAAAAACTCTTAATATGCAAAATGATCCTTGATAATTAGAAGATTTCTCTTATTACAGTGTGCAGGCAACAGACACAGATTGGGTGCAGCTTAAAGGAAAGTTTCTTATTAATAGTGTAATTTCAAAGGCAGTTATATATCTTGAAGGACCACCGCCGGGGACTGATGTCCTTGTGAACAGTTTTGTGGTTAAACATGCAGAGAAGCTCCCACCTTCTCCTCCTCCTGATACAGAGGTAATATTGACAAATTAACCACCACTCAAACTATAATAAGTGTATTAATTATAACCCATCTCTTTTTGACCTTAATGCTTAATGTTATATGTGAGGAGTAAATCAAATGAGAGTAAGAGTTAGGCAAGATACATTAATGGTCAAATATATGTTCAACCGAAAAGATCAAGATTATGAATAATGACAAACTAATTGGTATTTATATATTAAAAAACCATTTGATGTGAGACTAAACTCAAAGCTTAACATGTCAAAATAATATCCCCTTCATGTGAAAACATTTCACAATTTCATCACTCTCCCTCAAATAAAAGCACCATAAATTATCATATACCTAAAGTTCAGTTAATGCTACAAAGGCCTCATAGGTTCACCCAATCTTAAACTTTACCCAACCATGACATAACATATAAGTCTTATAAGTGGTACTAACCACATGAACCACTCGATCCTAGTCGAAAAGCATCAATTTTGATACCACTTGTTGAGGAGTGAACTATGGCTAAATGTTGGGTTAGATATATCGCATCACGAATCCAAAGAGTGTATGTTGTGATTGTCGAGACTTTAGCCTTTGAAGGAGCAACACATGATAGGCTTTTAGGATGACAATCTTATAGGAAAAAAAAAGGATATCAGTGATCCAAATCTTAAAAACTTATGCATCTTAAAAGAATAATTTCATATGGAAACTAAAACTAAATACCAAGCCAACATTGGTGGCTTTTACAAATTTGCCTAAGCTTTCGATTTAAAAATGGATTGAACCATTAGTTTATGATACCCAATTTTTAAACCTATTTTATTCACATTCTCTAACAAGTGATATCATTAAGGATTGTGCAGTTAGATCGAGTGGTTCTTGGCTCCCCATGAGTCTTGGTTCTACATATTATGATTGAGTAAAGGTTAAAAAGCAGACAACTTCAATGAAACCTCCGTATGATTGAATTAGTTTTAGGTACATGATATTTGATGATTTGAAAAAAAATTCTATGTGAAAGTGACTACTAAATAACCAATATTAATGACTCTCAATTAATAGACAAATTATTAAAATATATATGTAAATTAATAATAACCTTGTTGCTAGTTAAGTTGCATATATTAGCTAGCACAACCCTTTGCTCATTATTTTAAGTTTTAATATTTTATGATAAAAAAGATTTTACTATTAGTATATATGGCCTAACTTTAATATTCTTTGGTGCTCATTCCTAATGCAACTACACTTAAGTTTGCTAAATCAAACTAAAATTCTTTGCTTTTGCAGGATGTCTTATATGGTGTAAATATAATCACCAACAGTGGCCTTAATGACGACATAAATGGATGGTTTCCTCTTGGTTCGTGCACTCTAACCATCGCCAATGGCTCTCCTCTTCTTCTCCCTCCAATGGCAAAGGAGTCTTTAGGAAACTCTGAACCATTAAATGGTAACTACATTCTTGTCACAAATCGGTCCCAGACTTGGATGGGTCCAGCTCAAGAAATCACTGATAACCTGAAGCTCCAAGTGACATATCAAGTATCAGCTTGGGTTAGAATTGGTTCAGATAAAAGTGGCCCTCAAAATATCAATGTTGCTCTTGGTGTTGATAGCCAATGGGTTAATGGTGGCCAAGTAGAAGTTGTAGATGATAGATGGTATGAAATCGGTGGATCGTTTCGAATTGAAAAGTTACCAACCAGAGTTATTGTGTATGTTCAAGGCCCTTCTCCAGGTGTTGATTTTATGGTTGCAGGTTTACATGTATTTCCAGTTGATAGGATAGCAAGATTCAAATATCTAAAGAAACACACTAACAAGGTAGCTACTTTTATGCTTAATATTGATTATTTCTTTGTTTGTTTGAAATTACTCATTAACAGTTGAAATCAACGCCTGAATGAAATTACTCATGAAGTTAAAAACAAATCTGTGAATAAACTATAGTCAACATTGGTTTTATAGGTGAGGAAGCGCGATGTAATATTGAAAATTTCTGGATCAAATGCGAAGGACCTCCTAGGAACAACAGTAAATGTCAGACAAATAAAGAACACTTTTCCGATCGGGTCATGTATCAGTCGAATGAACATAGATAATGAGGATTATGTCAACTTCTTTGTGAACAATTTCAATTGGGGAGTTTTTGGAAATGAGCTCAAATGGTATTGGACAGAGTCACAACAGGGAATCTTAAACTACACAGATGCTGACGAGCTCTTAGATTTTTGCAACACAAATGGAATTGATGTGAGAGGCCATTGCATCTTCTGGGAAGTAGAATCTGCTGTTCAGCCATGGGTGAAGGCTCTGAGCACGAATGACCTGGTGACTGCAGTTCAAAGTCGCATAACCAGTCTCATGTTGAGGTACAAAGGCAAGTTCAAGCACTATGATGTGAATAATGAGATGCTTCATGGTTCTTTCTATCAGGATAGACTAGGAAAAGATATTAGAGCTAATATGTTCAAAACTGCCAGTCAATTGGATGCCTCTCCCAAACTATTTGTAAATGATTATCACATTGAGGATGCAACCGACACCCGTGCATCTCCTGAGAAGTATATTCAACAAATTTTAGATTTACAGGAGCAAGGAGCAGCTGTTACAGGTATAGGAGTACAAGGACATATTGATAAACCAGTAGGGCCAATAGTGAGCCAAGCATTGGACAAATTGGGAGTTCTTGGACTTCCAATATGGTTTACTGAGCTTGATGTTTCGGCAGAGAATGAGTATGTTCGTGCTGATGACTTGGAAGTGATGCTTAGAGAAGCATATGCTCATCCATCTGTTGAAGGAATTATGCTTTGGGGTTTTTGGGAGTTGTTCATGAGTAGAGAGAATGCACACTTGGTTAATGCTGAAGGAGATCTAAATGAAGCAGGTAAGAGACTTCTTTCTTTAAAAGAAGAGTGGCTTTCACATGCTTATGGAAAAACTGATGATCTAGGTGAGTTTAAATTTAGAGGATTTCATGGTACCTATAGTGTGGATGTTATAACATCCGGGAAGAAAATCTCTCAAACATTTAGTATTGACAAAGGAGATGTTCCTTTGGTTGTGAATATAAACATGCAAAGTTAAGAATTATTCAATAGTTCTTCATAATAAGGTTCACCGTCCTTAGTAAAAGTTTATACCTTACGATTGATTTTATATACGAAGAGAAAGTTTTCTTCATCAAATAGAAATAACCAAAGTGAAAGAATATCTGTGACAACATACTTGATGTTGATGTAATATATAAAGTGAAGATCAGGAATACATCTGATAATACTTTATCAAGCACTTTGTATGATCTACTTTAGTAGATGCTTGCATTATGCTCATGATTAGTTGATAATTTACATATTGTAGTAATTAAAACGAGAGCTCAATTTGAGATTTTTTTACATCAACAATTTATGAACCAAAGTACAACACTACAACTACAGCTGGTTAAGGAGATATTTGGTGATTCTGTTCATTAAACTTGCATTCAATATCATTTATAGTGGGCTCCTATAAGTTGAAATTATAATTAAATGAGAAAGCTTCAGTCCTATCAAGTTTCCTAAGAATTATGTTGGATCGATTTCACTTCTCTCTGGGAAGTCACTTGCTGAAAGGCATAAAACAACTAGTGATGCACTTGAAAATTAACTTGCAACTACATAAATCATAAGAACACTCAAGTAATTCATAAAGTCCCTACAATTTAGTTAAAATGACATGGCTAGAGAAGTCTTTTGCATGAGCAAGATGATTTTATTTTACAAGAGGTAAATTATAATTATAGAAGCTTTTTTTATAATTATAGAAACTTTATTGCAAATTAGTTCATGTTTTTAGGGTTTTTATTAGAAAGGTGTTAATTTTTGTATGTTTTAAGATTTTTCTTAAAAAATGAATCGAGTCGAGCTTAGTTTTATATGGTTTAAACCTGTTCATTTATTTTCTTATCAAACCTGAGCCCCTTCAACATAACTCAATTTCTAAATCATGTTCAAATGTGATTATTAGTATTTGTTATCATGTTTTCAAACATAATTGAGCTTTTGATAAGTCTAATGAGCTATATGCATGATGCTCATGATTTAAACAATATTTCTTATTTTTAAAAATAATTGTAGTCATATTTATTAATCAATCAAATAATAAATTAAGTAGAATTAAAATCATTCTCGATTTAAACACTTTTAATGATATTGATTTTAGTAAGAAAAAAAAAAGATGTTTAATTGATATTAGCATAAGGAATACAATTGTAATTAAGTAATAGCACTAATCTAGTGAATTACAAATTATGGCTATAAATACCAATACATAACTATGTAGGACTCTTAATTTGAGATTTAATAGATTCACACAACTAGTAAAGAAAAAAAATATGCACAAATGTTAATTTGTGTTCATAGGGCATACGCAACTATATACAATTTTAAAATAAGAAGAACTTCCAAAAAAAATCACCTATGCATAATTGTGTACAACATTAGAGTTGAATATACATAATTGTATTTTAAAACTTTACAAATTTATTCAAATTCAAAATTCTGCTCTCACAAAGTCAGAAGCCCATCACCTGCTAAGTTATCTCCCAGAGAAATTTGTAATGATAGAGCAAGTGTGTTGAAGAAATGGCACATGCTATAATTCTATTTGGTGTGACATTTTTGTTAGATAAAATTATTGAATCTTTTACATGAATGATTGAAATAACTATAAGAAGTGTTGATGGCAAGCATTCAAACACAACATAGTGGTTCAGAGGAGAACTTTGAGAAAATATGGGAAGAAATAAGTAATAAAGATTGCCTATATGATCAGAGAAAAATCATTATTACACTCAAGTGTGCAACCAATTAGAACAAAAAATAGTGTAAAAAAAAAACTCTTAATATGCAAAATGATCCTTGATAATTAGAAGATTTCTCTTATTATAGTGTGCAGGCAACAGACACAGATTGGGTGCAGCTTAAAGGAAAGTTTCTTATTAATAGTGTAATTTCAAAGGCAGTTATATATCTTGAAGGACCACCGCCGGGAACTGATGTCCTTGTGAACAGTTTTGTGGTTAAACATGCAGAGAAGCTCCCACCTTCTTCTCCTCCTGATACAGAGGTAAGATTGACAAATTAACCATCACTCAAACTATAAAAAGTGTATTAATTATATCCCGTCTCTTTTTGACCTTATAACTTTATGTTATATATGAGGAGTGAATCAAATACATACAAGAGTTAGGCTAGATGCATAAATAGTCAAATATATGTTCAACCCAAAAGCTCAGGATTATGAATAACAACAAATCAATTGGTGTTTATATATTAAAAACACTTTTTAACCATTTGATGTGAGAGTAAACTCAAAGCTTAACATGTCAAAATAATATCCCCTTCATGTGAAAACACTTCACATTTTCATCACTGCCCCTCAAATGAAAACGCTATAAATTATCATATACCAAAATTCACTTAATGCTACGTACAGAGGCTTCATAGGTTCACCCACTCTTAAACTTTACCCAACCATGACATAACATATCAAAGTCTTATAAGAGCTACAAACCACATGAACCACTCGATCCTAGTCGAAAAGCAACAATTTTGATACCACTTGTTGAGTGGACTATGAGTAGACATTGGGTTAGATATGTCGCATTGTGAATCCAAAGAGTGTACGTTGTGATTGTTGAAACGTTAGCTTTGGAAGGAGCAACACATGATAGGCTTTTAGGATGACAATCTTATAGGTAAAAAAAAAGGATATGCGTGATCCAAATCTTAAAAACTTATGTACCTTCGAGAATAATTTCATATGGAAACTTAAACTAAATGCCAAGTCCTAATATTGCTGGCTTTTACAAATTTGCATAAACTTTTGATTTAAAAATAGATTGAACCATTATTTTATGATATGCAATTTTTACACCTTTTTCATTCAAATTCTCTAACAAGTGATATCCTGAAGGATTGTGGAGTTAGATCGAGTGGTTCTTGGCTGGTGACCCATGAGTCTTAATTGGTACTTTATATTATGATTGAGTGACGGTGAAAGAGCATACAACTTCAATGCCACCTCCATATGATTGAATTAGCTTTGGGTACATTATTATTAATGATTTGAAAAAAAATTCGTGTGAAAGTGATTACTAGATAACCAATATTACTGACTCTCAATTAATAGATAAATTATTAAAATACATATGTAAATATATAATAACCTTGTTGCTAGTTGAGTTGCAAATATTAGCTAGCAGAACCCTTTGCTCATTATTTTAAGTTTTTATATTTTTATGTTAAAAAATATTTTACTATTAGTATACATGGCCTAAATTTAAAATTCTTTGGTGCTCATTCCTAATACAACTACACTTAAGTTTGCTAAATCAAACTAAAATTCTTTGCTTTTGTAGGATGTTTTATATGGTGTAAATATAATCACCAACAGCAGCCTTAATGATAGCATAAATGGATGGTTTCCTCTTGGTTCATGCACTCTAACCATCGCTAATGGCTCTCCTCTTCTTCTCCCTCCAATGGCAAAGGAGTCCTTAGGAAACCCCGAACCATTAAATGGTAACTACATTCTTGTCACCAATCGTTCCCAGACTTGGATGGGACCAGCTCAGGTGATCACCGATAGCCTAAAGCTCCAAGTGACATATCAAGTATCAGCTTGGGTTAGAATTGGTTCAGACAAAAGTGGCCCTCAAAATATCAATGTTGCTGTTGGTGTTGATAGCCAATGGGTGAATGGGGGCCAAGTAGAAGCTATAGATGATAGATGGTATGAAATCGGTGGATCGTTTCGAATTGAGAAGCTACCATCCAGAGTTATTGTGTATGTTCAGGGCCCTTCTCCAGGTGTTGATTTTATGGTTGCAGGTTTACAAATATTTCCAGTTGATAGGATAACAAGATTCAAACATCTAAAGAAACACACTAACAAGGTAACTTCTTTTATGCTCAATATTGAGTATTTATTTATTTATTTATTTTTAAATAACCCATTAATAGTTGAAAACAACGGCTGAATGATTAGTTTATACTAATTTTTTGTGGATGTACCTTATTACATGAAATTAAAAATAAATTCATGAATAAACTATAGTCAACACCGCTTTTATAGGTGAGGAAGCGTGATGTAATATTGAAAATTTTCGGATCAAACGTGAAGGACCTCCTAGGAACAATAGTAAGTGTCAAACAGATAAAGAACAGTTTCCCAATAGGGGCATGTATCAGTCGAATGAACATAGATAATGAGGACTATGTCAACTTCTTTGTGAACAATTTCAATTGGGGAGTTTTTGGAAATGAGCTCAAATGGTACTGGACAGAGTCACAACAGGGAATCTTAAACTACACAGATGCCGACGAGCTCTTAGATTTCTGCAACAAAAATGGAATTGATGTCAGAGGCCATTGTATCTTCTGGGAAGTAGAATCTGTCGTGCAGCCATGGGTGAAGGCTCTGAGCACGAATGACCTGGAGGCTGCAGTCCAAAACCGCATAACCAGTCTCATGTTGAGGTACAAAGGCAAGTTCAAGCACTATGATGTGGACAATGAGATGCTTCATGGTTCTTTCTATCAGGACAGACTAGGCAAAGATATTAGAGCTAATATGTTCAAAACTGCTACTCAATTGGATGCCTCTCCTAAATTATTTGTAAATGATTATCACATTGAGGATGCAACCGACACCCGTGCATCTCCTGAGAAGTATATTCAACAAATTTTAGATTTACAGGAGCAAGGAGCAGCTGTTACTGGTATAGGAGTACAAGGTCATATTGATAAACCAGTAGGTCCAATAGTGAGCCAAGCATTAGACAAATTGGGAGTTCTTGGACTTCCAATCTGGTTTACTGAGCTTGATGTTTCAGCAGAGAATGAGTATGTTCGTGCTGATGACTTGGAAGTGATGCTTAGAGAAGCATATGCTCATCCATCTGTTGAAGGAATTATGCTTTGGGGTTTTTGGGAGTTGTTCATGAGTAGAGAGAATGCACACTTGGTTAATGCTGAAGGAGATCTAAATGAAGCAGGTAAGAGACTTCTTGCTTTAAAGGAAGAGTGGCTTTCACATGCTTATGG